ATTCAGTCGCTGAGATGCAAACAGTCATTTGCAGTGCTTTGTTGTGAAGTAGTGCATCGTAGAGAAACCTACTGATTCTGATTTTTTTTATACGGTAGTCGTAATAGGAACCAGGGTTTGCGATGTCTACAAGGCAAATGATAGATGTTTTATATGTAGTGTTCATAATGGCAAAATAGCAGTAAATCTACAAAAAAAAAACTTACGCCTTACAGCACTCTGCATGTACATCTTTAACATGAATATCTTTATTAAACAAATAGGTTTTAGGCCAAAACCTTAATAGCTTTCTGTTAGGTAACTATTTAGTTAAGAGTTAAACAAAGAAAGTGAGAAAAATCAGTTGAATTCCATTACTATTGCTTTATTCATCACAAAAGTTTCATTGAAGGTAGCTGATGTTAAAACGTTTTGACATTAGATCACTTCTATATTTGTTTTATTACATTTTAACATGAATTGTCATTAGCTTAACAGTACAGATTCACCTGACACTGAGATCCAGTACAAATAGTGTGACTAATGCCTGTTGTGCTGTATGTTACAGGGAGGTTCTGGGCACAGTATTTGAGAGGAAGGGGATTGAACTGTCTCGTGTCAATCTGTTTCTGGACCAGTCGAACACTCCTCTCTCACTGGGCTTCGAGGCCTACCGCTTTGGGGGCCACTACCTCCGAGTACGAGGTGAAAGAGCATCCAGTTTCTTTGTAACACGTCTAAAGAACACTGATGATGACGTCTAACTCAAAACTCTAAAAAATGTTTCTGCAGTTAGCATATGGAAATGAAGAACTTTTTTAGCACCACCCCCCAAAAAACACTCTCTTGTTCTATATGCGTTCATATTAAATTTATTTGAACTTACACAGAAGCCTCAACTAAATGTAATGTCTCTGCCTCTCACAATCCAAGTAATTAAAACACATCTATTGATGTTGAGTACTGTGCTCTGGGATGGCCAGTACATTATCTTGAGAACACAAGCAGCTTCTTTGTTTAATAAGTATATTTCGATCTCAGCAGTGCACTTGTGGCCTTGCTGTAGAATGAATTTCTTCCCAATCTAGGTTTTTTCAGAGGGTATTGCATGATGCATTAAAATTTATTTGTGCTTATCAGCATTCATTATCCTTTCAATCAAAAACAAATCACTGATGCTCCACCTTGCTTGACACATGTTTGTAGACAAGGTTCAAAGAGTCTTTCATTGCTTCAGAGGCATAAATACTGCCTTCTGTTCCGTCCAAAGATCTGAAATGTAGTGATTTAGTGATTAGTGATTTACCAGGTATTGCACAATTATTAGGATTCCCATTTTTCTGTTTTTTTCCTGACACAAAAAAAATGTCATAATTAGTACCTAATTGCCATTTTCACTGGCATTTGAACAAATAAAAGTATGGTCTTTGACTTTTGCGCAGTACTGTATATATTTACATGTTTTCATGATTTTCTAAGTGAATAGACATTTACACATCCTCAGTTCTGTACATTTTTAATGAACGATTGTTTGCTACATTGAATATAAAAGAAAGAGGAAAAAAACATAATATATATTTTTTTAATATTTTATGTTGTATTTTTTCTAATATAAGTAATGTAGGAAAATAGAAAATGTGCACTAAAATTTGCAGACAATTGTCGTATTGACACACACACACACTTGCCACTTGCAGGTGCTTAATGGAATTTTTCAACTGGGTAGTCAAATTTTATAATGATAATGATGATTAATAATTACAGCCATGCTACAAAAAAGTCTGATAAAGGTATTTTAACTAATTGGGGTCCACCAAGGACTTATGATGAAAACCATACAAGAAAGACAGCATTAAGTGTATTGCTGTGTGTGCTCTTATGTGTGTTCAGCGCGTCCGGGAGAGGAGCTGAGGGTGGAGAGGGGGGTGAAGGACCCTCGATCTCTCAGTCTTCCCATCCTGAGGCCAAGCAGTCACAGTGCCTCCACTGACCGTGTGGAGCATTGCTCCCTGGGACGACGAGAGGCAGCGGATCTGCTTGTAAGTTTGGTAAGTTTCTTTTTCCCTTTCTTTTTCTATCTTCCTCCTTTTTAGTCCTCCATCCTCTCCCAGAGGGCCAGCTTTTATGCAGCAAAGCTAGCACTGGAAACCCTCAGGACAAATGTGTTGTTTGTGGTATTTTTAATATTCCAGGACTCTGCAGCATGCACGCAACTTCCCAAATGCTTCATCATCAGCAACCTAAAAAAATCAGTGAATATACATGGCTCTCATTGAATTTCACTGCTTGTGTCCCCTTACCATCATATTTGCCAGGAACTTGAGCAGGAACTTTCATGGAAATAATCACTGCCAAGCAGAGACCATCAGAATGAATGGAGGAGGTCACTGTTTGCTGTAGTCTTATTTGTATATATCCTCAAAACATGTCTTCTTCAGAGTTCTTTAGCAAAGGCAATGGTTATAACTGAGCCATTAATGCTTATGTTTCTTTTTTGCATGGTTCAAAGGTTTTTCAGCCTGATGGAGAACCTGCGGAACCAAAAAGCGTTACAATTAAAAGAAAAATTTTGGTACTATATAGTAAAACATTTTGCTATCTTTTGTGTAGGGCTGGGCGATAAAACGATAACGATAAGTATCGCAATATAACTTTTCCTTGATAGAGCGATAAGACAGGTTCGATAAATTTTCGATATAATACACCATTCTCACACTTCCACGTTTTAGCGAAAGCCCCGGTGGCGTTTTCTACTGCAAGGAAAGCGACACTACTCTGCTGTCGTGAGGAGAGGGCGCACTTCCCAGTTTTTCGACTTGATTAGAGAGGGAGGAGGCCACGAGTAAAAAAGGGTCGCCAAATATACTTTAGCAACATCTGAAACGCGGAGTTATACATTCCCTGTTTGAGTGGAGCGACCGGCGAGTTGTTCTCCTGTGACCGAGTGTGAGTGACGAGATCAGTGACGTAACTGTACTGTCCTATGGTGAACTCACCTCTTTCCATGCATCCTAACAACTTTAGCGGTGTTAAGTCACGTCTGCAGCGCCGTGTTACAGCGCCAAACCGTCATATTTTAGTATTAGTGCACTCTCGAGCAACGAAAGTGAAAGAAAGAAGTGGGTTAATGTGAGTTACAGCCCTGATTTAAACGAAAGTAAACTGAGGAAGCTGTGAGGCATTGGGAAGCGGGAGAGCGCTAGGTTAGCTTTCCAGGCTAGCTGTTTTTAGCTGCTAGCTAACTTGAAGCAGCGCTCCGGCACCCCGGCACAACACAGTGAATTGATGATACAGTAGAGCAAACAAGACACAAAATCACCGCTTTCAGTTTAAACATCCCTAAAAGGAGGACTCTGTTTGACTGGTGCGAGAGATTCACACTGCAGATAATGCTTTTACACAGCGAATGTCAGATATATTGCGGTTCACCCTTTAAACTACTGCGATAGCATAGAGAAATCCAGTCGTCGCTAGCTGGTGTCTGAATACTGTGATATGCTCTGACATGGATGTGGTAGGAGTGACAGCAGTGACCTACCGAACCAAGTTGACGTTGTTGAGAAACTAAAGAGTTTAGCACTGTTGTTGGCCACTTGTTTAGCATTTAGCAACGGGATAGCCGAGCGCTCGTCACCAGACAGCTAAAAATAATCTGTTTTCTTTCTTAAATTATGACTATTACAAAAATTGCAGAAGTGCTTTTCCAGCTGATAAAAACAGCTCAGAAACTTTCTCCCACTGTCCCAAGACAGATTTGTGAAATGTTCCACTGTTTGGTGAGTGGTTGTCATGATCCGACCATAAATGATAGTTTAAAACCACAGTTAACCACCCAGGAGCAAAATCAGTCTTCAAATGTGAAAGAAATAATGATTTGACATTTATCGCAATATGTATCGATATCGAACGATATGAATTTTGTTTATCGTGATAACGTTTTTGGCCATATCGCCCAGCTCTACTTTTGTGCATCATATGAAGTTGTAGTGATTTTCAGGTTGTATGAAATCATTACGCTCTCCAGTATATCGTAAATTACACAGGTCTATGGTCCTGGTCTCTGGGTTATATGTGCAGTGTACCCCAAAATATCCAACCCAAGAATGTTTGGCTGAAGCCAGTACAGGAGACCCTGAGAGATGACCTTCCTTGCTCATGACCTTAAACCTCTGTGCTGTAAAGCAGGGATGTCCAATCTTATCTGCAAAGGGCTGGAGTGGCTGCTAGTTTTTAGTCCAAAGAAGCAGGGCCACACCTGATTCCACTCGTGTAAACAGTTAGTCTCAGTCTTGAACAACTGATCATGCGTGCTTCTGCTTTGTTGGAATGAAAACCTGCAGTAATACTGGCCCTTTGCGGATAAGATTGGACACACCTGCTCTAATTATTAGCATCTAATTATTTTGTTTACCTGACGAGTTCAAGAACTGTGAGTCATTTTCCATGAATGATGTGACTCCTATCTACAAAACAAATGCTCCAGCACGTTATAATGTATGAGATTTTTAGAGTCGCATATGTAAAACCTTAACAAGAAATGTTTTTGGGTTTGGATTGTTTAAAAATGTGAACATGGAAATCCTACCTGTTACTCAGCGTTCACATGAACACATTCCTTCTTAGGAAATTAAACTCAAACTGGAAACATTCATTTGCAGGATATGGTAGAACAAAGACTGTAACAGAGAACATGTGGGTTCATCCTCTGGACTGAAGCTATAGTGGTTATTAAAAAGATATTCTCAAAAACTCTCAGATCACTCCTAAAGCTTGTAGGGCACTGTAAAATTGAACATTAGCTTGTCAGACAAACAAATATTAAATCTGATCCCTATCCTGGCCCACCACCCACCTTATTTTGAACAGTTACTAAGTTCCAGCTTAGTCAGGTTATAATGTCACACTGCTTAACACCATCAAGCTGTTTAGCATGGCTGTTTTACATAGGGCTCTCCACAGGTGTTCAAAGTTCGAAAACCGGTGTGTTATTGCTTCCTCATGACACACTCTAAAAGCACTATGTGCCTTGTCAGCATGTTCAGTGGAAGACTACAGAAAGCTGCAGTAAACTGTTCATGAAAAATCTTACCCGGAAGGTCAGGCTTTCACAGAAACTACAGCAGACGCCTGTTTACATTCATTTGTGATCATTTTGCTGCTATGGGAGATAATAACCATCACTGATATGTGTGATTGGCTCTGCTGTGGTAACAGTGTACCGCTGTTAGCTTTTGTGTTGTAAGGGTTTTGTAAGTGCTTTGGTCCATTGTGCCACTGAGGTAGGGAGGTCAGAAGTTTGCTGTGCCGTGCTGTACCCGGAAGGGCTTATGTAACCTGCCAGAAAGGTGAGTGCACAGCCAGGCTGGGGGAGATAGGACACAGTGCCAGAGTGTGAGAAAATCAGGAGTGGTGCCGTGTGTCGTCCTGGCAGCAGATGGCCTGAGTGGCAGAGAGGGCTGGAGGAGCGCCAGAAGCTATTCACCACTCCCACCAGCCCTGGGACAGGGGTCAAAGGACACAGTGCTGGAGGCGGATTGCTATACGATGGGATTGAGAGCCCCAAACACCAAAGAAGGAACACATTTCGAAGAGCTTTGGGGACTGAAATGAAATCGGTTGTTACCCTTGATAATGTTTCAGAGTGTTTGGGTTTGCAATTTAGCAGTGCAGACTATGGATGTAAACTGTTAGGATTGAAGAAGAACAAATCGTCTTTGATCCTGTTGCACTGTCCAGTCCTGTTGTGTAGCAAATAAAAATAGTTGACCAAGAAAATAGCAACCAGTACAACTTGATTTGTGGAGTTCAGCCATTTGCTCCATTTCTTGTTTTTGTACATGCGAAAGCACTTTTTGGTGTTGTGGAAATGCCAAATTTCCGTCAGAGGACGTGGCATGTGCCCAGCGTTGCAGCCCATCCGGAGAGGCCTGAGGGGATGCTAACCTACTACAGCCCCCTGAGCGAGTTCCCTTTGTCACAGACCCACAGGCCACAGACCCTGGGGCTGGTGGCCGCCCGCGTTCAGCGATTCGAGGCCGGGATGACCCTTCCTATCAGCTCCGTGTCTGTGGGCTCCCCCTCCCCTACAAGCTGCCCTTCTGATCTACCAGGACAGACTAAACAAGGAAACAAGGTACTCGTGCCCTGCCAAATGTCCGATAAGGGGAATTCCTGTACTGTCCCTAGGATGATCATCAAAGGCATCATAATTTTTATGAAAAGAAAACCATAGTAATACTAAGAGAATTTCTGTAGGATTCCTACCGGAATCTTACAGTAAATTGGAATAATTACTATAGTTTACTGTTTATTATACAGTTTACTTTATTATTTACTTTGTTTACTTTATTATACAGAGATAATAGATTATTATAACAGTATTATACAGCACTATACAATTCTTATAGCTTCTTATTGTGCTAATAAATTTATTTTTTTGTAAGGTAGAATTAAGATCATAATAACTGATGATGAATGTTTAAACCAAAACCTTTTAAGGTCAATTTGGTTATTGTATTACTTCAAGTTTGACGATGACTGCTTAGAGGGATGAGGGGTCAAGTTGCCAACAATGTAGCCTTGCTTTAACAGCATAACTCATAATTTAGCAATTTAACTGCTAATGTAACTTACACTGTTAGCTTGCTAGTTACCAAACTAAGGGCTACACAACTAGCAACATCAAAAAATGCAGGGCAGTGCAAAGACCTAAATTTGCTTAGTTAGCTAATTAGCTCACTGAGACTAACTTGGCCAAGTGCAAGTGCATTCCTATTTAAAATCTGTTCATCATTGTCACCTCCTTCCTTTGCTGATGAGAGACCACACAGGTGCTAATTTATGAGACGAAGTTGATGAGGGCATTTTAAAAACAGCATTGAAGCAAGCAAAGGTTTTTCCCACTGTAATACTTTCATATATCAATAAGGAAATTCCAACATATAAACTCTTAGTGTTATTCTAGGTAACTTTAAGCATAATTATTACTTTATAGTGTAGATGGCAGGAACATTCATTGTTATGTGTGCGGTATCAGTCCATCAGACCTTGAGTCTGAGTACAGGTTTTAGGATTAAGTCATTGGTTATGTGGTTTCAGGTGTAAGAAAACAAAACTTAAGCAGTCTCTCTTATCATACTGTACTGTCATATAAAGAGCACATTATTGCTGTGTGAAACATTAATCTTTAACTACTCATGGATGCACTTAGAAACCATGAAGCTTTCTCAGGCTATTATTGGTGTCCATATTTTTGTACATCTGTCTTTACTACATATTTGGTTCCCATAATTCCAATTATTGACCTGTAGGTGTACATAAAAGAAAACTGAGGAAGTCTCATGATTCAGAAGTCATATGACATAGAACTAAGCAGCACACAGGTTAATATGTAAATGTGGCTTCAGTTCATGGTTCCACTGTCATTCCTTTTCAAGTGTTTAGTTTTTGACAAAAATATATATCTACCAAGACATTGATGGGCATGGACACTTCCCTCTGATTATAATGCAGACCATTCAAAATAATGTGGAGGTGGAATAATTTGTAATGAGAGTTTCTCAGTCAATTCAATGTAGACTCTTCATAGTTCTTGCTAATTTGGCCTTGACACGGTAATAAAAAGAAGTAACTTACTGATCTTTTCTTATCACTGGCTTTAGATTTCAGATAGAGCCCCTCTCTTTAAAATGCAAATCAGGCAATGAAGCAAATTGTGACAGGACCTAATTAGTTCACTTAGTATAGGCGTGTGTTGCTTAGCTCTAAGTGAATGACTTTCTGTTCGGCCATGAAGTGTTTGAACGCCGAAGGTAAATGGAGATGGCAGTGTCTTGTTTCCATTTCTAAGCAGATGAAGTCCTTAGTGTTTATATCCATGTCTTGTTTGTTCTGCCTTGTTTCTTCTTTTCCAGTTGTGACCTGGCTTTGTTGTCTTTTACCTGTAGAAGTCATAGTTTTGGCTCGTAATAATAGCATGGCATGATCTGTTTTTGATCATTTCTCATTCTTTTTTAAACAAGCAGAAAAATAAACAAAAAAGTCACAAGTGCAGACTTGAATCTGCGATACAGAGTGACTTCTAAGGGATAATTTATGCATGTCCAGAGCACTGGTACTTTAGGTTGACTACCACTGAGCTTTGCCTGGTGAGATCAAGGGAAAGTACTTCAGCGATCATTAATGGAGAAGTCGGTCGGTGGCTCTCCAGGATGTGAGCGGGCTCTCATCACAGGATCTTCCTCCTGCATGGGTGAAAGCCAAGTGCTGCTCTGCGGTCGGTTTGCGCTGTTTCCTAGTAATGATTGCTATTAGGAGAGGAAAAGTAAGAGCTGATTGTGGATCAGTAGTTAAATGCGCTAAAGTGAGCACAGCTCCACCTCCCTCCTTTCCTGCCCCTGCTCCTGTCCCCTCTCTTCCTGTTCGCACAATAGGAGGGCAGGATCCTGCCGTTTCCATGACAGCCGGCCAGCCCTCTTCAGCGATGCAGCACCAAGCTCCTGCTTCAGATCTCCACCTTCAGGTTCACTCACACACACACAAGCAGAGAGAGGTGGATTTGAATGCCTGGTTCCATTTGTGCTCTAGGAAGGGTGTGACAGCAGCAGACGACTGCATGGTTTAAAGAAGGAGGTAGTTGCTGGAGATTCATTTTCAGGGGTTTCAGTATGGGCTGGATTCGTTTCTGATGTAGTGCAATGGTGAACAGCATTTTGGAAATGCCTCTCACATCCACGGTGAGCTCCTGGAACATTTTCTTCCCTCAGTCTGTCAATGAAATTGTTAAATTGAATTGTTTAAAAATCAAGTATTTTTCAAAATTCTTTTATTCTTCATATATATATATATATATACATACACATCAGTGTATGAAGGATTAGTCAAGCATCTTGGATGTACCGTGCGAGAAGTGTTCTTACCCTGAATTAATTAATTTAATTTGCTTTGCGTTCAGCAAAACCAGTGCAGGAGTTCCGTAGACTTGTTTGTGGACTTGATGTGTTGAGTCTAAGTGAGCGAAACTGGCTGTCCTGTGTCGCACTCGGCAAAACGGTCACTGATAATGAGGTTAATGAGCCTGCTGTAGCCACTGTTACAATGCAGACCTACACTAGATATCTATCACATCACTCCTGCTTGCAAACTATCACTTAAAGCTGTAATGTAAGCACTCCTCTGTATAGTAGTGCATTGATTGACCGTCTGTTAGACTATAGTTCTCCAGAATGTGGCTTTTAATTTTAGTAACCTGATAAGGCTGCTGCATGCCCAGTAAGTCTTTAGGCTCAATTTAAAGCCAAGAGTTCTTGAATTTGGTTTTATTGCATCATTGTTTTAACAGATACACATTGCATTTAAACCCTGCTCTGATAACTGACCACAAATAATCTAAATGTTACCTGATTTTAATCATAAACAGGCTTTTTGTAGGGAAGCAAGCGTACAGGACACCAGTATTAACTGTCATCTCGAAGTGTACTGCTAAAAAGCCTATTTGCTATAGAAATGGCCTGTTGTTTTTAACCCATTGTGTTTTTCCACCAAAAGAATTGATATGTATGATTAGAACACATTGTCTGAAATGCAAAGTCATTTGACCCTTGGGACATTAAGAAACTTTCCCTCTGTGTGCTCATACGTTTCTCAATTCTTTTCCATTGTCGCAGGGAGGGAAAAACCGTTCCCGTGTTTTCCAAACGTTGCCTTGCCTCTTTTCCTGTTGTGACTCAGGGGTTCCTCCTGTGCTCCTGGGTCAAAGGGTTCATGCTCTGCTGTCAGTCAAATTTATAAGGTTACAACCTCTCTCTGCTTATACTGTTGGTGAAACCAAGATGACGTCAACACTTTTTGATAGCAGAAGGGTTTTGGGGCTTTAGATTTGAGCTCTGTTTGTCAACCCCGACGTGAAATCCGCTCATGAAGGCATGTAGATGGACAAGCTCAGCTTTGTTTATATATAAATGTCTAGGTTGCATTGTCTAAGCGCTTCCTTACTTGCCAAGCTCCTGGCTAAGTCTGGGTCAAGAACACTTAAAATGCCACAGCACCCACCCTGACTACTTTAAAGGTCTCACATCCTATGAGCAGTAGATTATAGTTTGTATGACAGGAGAGTTCCCTCTCAACTGTGTCCAAGACTAATCGCATGTCAGAGGGTTAAAGGAATACTACATAATTTCAGTCCAATCGATAGCACATGGTAGATATATGATATCATTTAAACCCTATATTTAAATGAAAATAGTACAAAGACCACATATGCTGAACTGAGAAATGTCATTGCTTTTTGAAAAATATATGCCCATTGTGAATTTCATGCCGGTAACATGTTTCAAAAAGGTTGGGACAGGAGCAACAAAAGACTAGTAAAGTTGTGTAATGCAAAAAAAATGAGTGAAACCTGGTAAAAAAAAAAACAAAACCTCTCACTAAATTAGGTTTATTTGCAACAGGTCAGTAATGTGATTGGTTGTATAAAGAGCATCCCAGAGAGGCTTACACTTTCAGAAGTAAAACGGGGAGGGGTTCACCAGTTTGTGGAATTGCAGCAATTCAAGAATAAAGTTCATCATTGTGGAAAAGCAAAGAATTTGGGGATTTAATCATTTATGGTACATTATATCATTAAAAAATTCAAAGAATCCAGAGAAATCTCTTCATGCAAGGGACGAGGCCAAAAACCAATATTGGCTGGCCGTGATCTTCGGTGCATTACAGCATTAAGCACAGACACAATTCTGTAGAGGAAATCACTGTATGGGCTCAGGAACACTTCTAAAACCACTGTCTGTGAACAGTTCATCACTGCATCCACAAATGCAAGTTAAACCTCTACCATGCACGGAAGAAACCATATATAAAGTGGATCATGGGCACACGCCATGGGTGTCTGGCATCATATACAAAATGGGCATATATTTTTCAAAAAACAATGAAATTTCTCAGTTTTGTGATATGTTTCTTTATATGTTGTCTTTGTACTGTTTTCAATTAAATTTTGGGATTAAATGGTTTGCACATCATTGCTCTCTGTTTTTATTTACATTTGCATAGAATCCCAACTTTGGAAACGGGGTTGTAGAAGTCAATTGGCAGGCGCTTTAGCATTTCAGGTCAACAGGTGTGCTTCGAGTCAATAGGTTTTCTGTTCTTTTACTAATTACAGGAAAACATGTAAAATTATTGTTGGTGGTATTCAACTGTATACTACAGCTAGCAGATAGAGATTAGGTTGAGAAAATATTGGAGTGTTCCTTTAATCCTGGAAAGAAGACTGTGGTAACGTATGTGTGTGTCTCTCTCTCTCTCTCTCTCTCTCTCTCTCTCTCTCTCTCTCTCTCTCATTCGTTCTCTCTTTTTCAGGGTCAAGCGCGTCGGCGGAAGAACATGACAGAGTTCTTGGGTGATGCCAGCATCCCCGCTTCAGACTCTGTCTCCCAGCTGAGCGGTTCTCTCCCAAACTCTGCCACGGGAGCTGACCGGTGGAAGAACCGGGCAGCCAGTCGCTTCAGTGGCCTCTTCAGCTCTGGCTCGGGCAACGGCTCTGTTGGCAAGGTCTGTCTCTTACATGTGCAGTGTCAAACACTCTCATGCCTACCAAACGAGCACTAGCCTTTCCATTTGGCAAACTTGTTGTTTCTTACACTTGGGCCACTTGTACTTTTAGCCATAAGGAAAAGGATGTCTATTTGTCAAAGCCAACAAGCTTTTCTTGATTCTTAATGGAACCCCAGATGACCAGAGGAAAGTGTACAAGTGTTGCTTTCCTGGAAGTGCGCTCAGGATGTCAGTGAAGTGTAGTGTGTACACACGTTGCACCCGTTTACACATGCAGGATCCCCTAGCAGATGCGCCTTGTTTGGTAATGTAGGGGGACTTGGGCAACTCTTGTGCTGAAAGTGCATTTACACCTGCTGGTAGTCCCAGGAGGACATGTTTGGTGGCATAGGTCATGTCCTGCTCTCTTTGTGTCAGCTTGGCTCCTGTTAATGGCCTGACGCCGGTCCGGTGTGGACAACAATGCCTCCTGTGTGTCGTGCACGGCCCAAGGAGCTTTAAAAAGGTGCCTGGGGGTTTTTGCTTTTAGCTGTAAACAGCGCAGTACACAATGAAGCAGTCCATTGAGTCATAGACAGCCATTGCACTTAAATGTTAAACCAAGTATCTCTTACAGCTTATGCTATTTAGATTGTGATAAAATGGACCAGTTTGTATGAATCTACAGTCACATTTATAGTGAAGAATCAGTTGCCATGGGCAATGTTGCATTTCCTGGTGCAAAAAAAAGTAAAACATTTAAAAAAAAAGAAGTAAATGTTTATGTCAGTAAATGTTTATTTGATAGCCAGTGCTATCTTAATGATATACTGCATCCCAAAATGCAACATAGTCATTTCAGGAAGATGTAACCACCCTGGATTAGGCCTATTATAGATATACAAATGGCAGCAAAGAGAAAGAACATGTTTTTTCCAAATGCTACTGCACTTTCTCTGCTGATCTTGGGGTGGGTTTGGTTACTTAATTCACTTAATAAAGTTAACTTCCTTCATAAATAACATGGTTCAAACTGTATTTTACTTAAGTTAGTCTTAGCTGAACAATCCATACGGCATCATCATTTCACACTTAAGTGTGGAGTCAGGCTGATTATTATTAAACCAAACTAGCTCATATTACAAACTATGAAAGTAATGAAAATAAAATCACTGCACTTTTAGCAAACATTAGTGTTTTTGGAAACCACACAGGTTTACCACACAGACAAATCCAAAGTTGACAGTGTTAACATGTATTTTTGGCTTAAGAGATGGGTAAAAACAACACCCTCCACTGTGTCATATTATCTTTTAAAATTCATCAGGAACATCTCTTGACCAAAATATAGCCACATGTGCTGCTGAGGAGCTTAAAAGCAGCTAGAAACCGTTACAAAGCTGTGTCTTGAAGGTTAGGGAAAACGGGCGGGTCTTGAGATGGGTCTGATTGGCTCGATCCCTGCCCTGTACTACACTACACAGCTTTTGTCGCATGCTGGATACTATACTGTATAGTACTGATGAAGAGTAGCATGCAGCATACAGTGTATACTGGTGCAGCATGCAGTATACAGTGTACTATTGCGAACACAGTCATTCTCTCATGTCTGTCTAGAATGGATGTAGTTTTGAATTTGTTTTATGTAGTCACATATGTCAAGCGTATTCACAGATTTCAGCAGCTGCCTAAAGGCTTCTATTATAAGTGTGTTTGGAGTCATGGTGTTTTCTGTTCTTTTCTAAGTACAGGGAAAGTGTTAAATTATTTTAATGATAAAAGACCATATAATACAGAGGCAGCAGACAAACCGATTGAAAAATGCTAGAGCATTCCAATAGCAGAAAGGCAGACAATTTAGACACTGGCAACTGATGGGTCTTTTTTTTCCTTTCTGCAGGAGTGTGATCGTGTAGAGCAGTTACAGAGTAAACTTCACTCCTACACTGTGTTCGGACTACCTAAAATGCCTCAGCAACTCTCCTTCCACAGAGATTCCTGGGAGGAGGAGCCTAATCTAGAGCTAGAGGAGAGCTGGAAAGAGTTACTGGAGAACCCTGAGGTACAAACACACACACACACACACACACACACACACACACACACAAACAGACCCCTGTCTTCTTTCAAGATAATATTCAACAAGCAGCACTACTACACTGTTCTACATTGACCTTTTCACAACGTCAGCTGGACCACAGACATAATGGAGTGTTGTTTTGCCTTGTGGTTGACACAGATGGAAACCCAGATAAAAGAAAAATTTATAGCCCTACAATCAGCCACGTTACTGGCTTCTTTTTCTGACTTACACAAATATGACATTCAGTGGGAAACCTGTGGCGAAGCACATGGAAGACATTTTTATAATCAGGCATTTATGATATTACAACCCACTATAAATACAAGATTAAAGTCATATCACTCTGTTTCTCTGGAAAGAGAACCTAACCTCTCATTTTATGACAGTAATCAAGTGTGAATTGAAAGGCTTGATGGTTTCTGCATTTATGTTGTGCTGTTTGTGTGTTTGGATCTGTGTATATTGTGGAGATGACTTGGTTATAATGCTGCTGTTTGTCGTATGCTGTGTTAGTTGCCTACGCCCTAGAGAGAAGCCTACAGTAATTATGGCTTGGTGGAAGTCCATAGCTATCGTATGATGTCCATTTGTTAAGCAGTTATATAACCAGTTCTGGCAAAAGGATCTGTAACTTTGAGTTGGTTCACAGCATATTCCATAAAAGAGGAAAAGTGGTAGCCATCTTGTAACATGAGAAACCACATAAGCTAGACTATTTAGATTATTTAACAACTTCAGAAGGTTAAAGGAGCATATGCGATGATTTACTTGTAGCTCCAGTGCAAAACTAAAGAAGCATAATTCAGAAAGCAGACATGTCTTGACTGATCAACTTCATTTGGGATAAAAGGAAAATTTTGTAAATCTGTTTTACTTTATACATTATATACATTAACACTAGGCAGTATATTAAAAACAGCTTTTCCACTAATGCAGTATGTTGGCACAAAAGATATTCTGAGAAATGATCAGTAAAATCTAATTTTTAATCCATGTGTCCTCATGCAGTCTGCCATACTTCCTTTTCTTATCCATAGATTTTACCCAAACGACAGTGTCACCAGCAGGAAGCAATTTGGGAACTTCTGCAGACAGAGTCGGACTACATTAAGAAATTGCACGTCATCACTGATGTAAGCTCAACTGTGAAGATAGTGCTGTCACTGGAATATTGGATTATATTTTACATTAGAATTTTGCAATAGCCTCTTCTTGTAATGAATTAGTTAATAGTTTGAGGTTTAACGTAATGCCACAGTACTGCTGAATTTTTGTGATTATTAACACAACTGCAGTTTTGATGACTGTGCTTCTATGTGTGTGTAGTTGTTCCTCTGTGGGCTGTTGAACCTGCAGGAGAGTGGACTGCTGAGTGAGGTTGAGCCTGCTCGTCTTTTTGGGAACATTCAGGAAATTGTTCTACTGCACACTTCACTGTGGACTGAGGTCTTGCTGCCCATGCTGGAGCGGGCCAGACAGAAACACACCCTGCTTGACCCTATGGACCTGCATCAGGGATTTAGCACTGTGAGTAAGCACATATGCATATACAGTGGTGTGAAAAAGTGTTTGCCCCCTTCCTGATTTCTTATTATTTTGCATGTTTGTCACACTTAAATATTTCAGATCACCAAACTAATTTAAATATTAGACAAAGATAACACAAGTAAACACAAAATGCAGTTTATAAATGAAGGTCTTTAGTATTAAGGGAAAAAGAAATCCAAACTTACAGGGCCCTGTGTGAAAAAGTGATTGCCCCTTCCATTAAAACATAAATTAACTGTGGTTTATCACAATTTCACTCAATTTCACCCAGGTCTGATTACTGCCACACCTGTTCTCAATCAAGAAATCACTTAAATAGGACCTGCCTGACAAAGTGAAGTAGACCAAAAGATCCTCAAAAGCTAGACATTATGCTGTGATCCAAAGAAATTCAGGAACAAATGAGAAACAAAGTATTTGAGATCTATCAGCCTGGAAAAGGTTATAAAGCCATTTCTAAAGCTTTGGGACTACAGTGACACACAGTGAGAGCCATTATCCACAAATGGTGAAAACATGGAACAGTGGTGAACCTTCCCAGGAGTGGCCGGCCGACCAAAATTACCCCAAGAGCACAGCGATGACTCATCCAAGAGGTCACAAAAGACCCCACAACAACATCCAAAGAGCTGCAGGCCTCACTTGCCTCAGTTAAGGTCAGTGTTCATGACTTAACCATAAGAAAGAGACTGGGCAAAAATGGCCTGCATGGCAGAGTTCCAAGACGAAAACCACTGCTGAGCAAAAAGAACATAAAGGCTCGTTTCAGTTTTGCCAGAAAACATCTTGATGATCCCCAAGACTTTTGGGAGAATACTCTGTGGACTGATGAGACAAAAGTTGAACTTTTTGGAAGGTATATGTCCCATTACATCTGGCATAGAAGTATCACAGCATTTCAGAAAAGGAACATCATACCAACAGTAAAATATGGTGGTGGTAGTGTGATGGGGCTGTTTTGCTGCTTCAGGGCCTGGAAGACTTGCTGTGGTAAATGGAACCATGAATTCTACCTGTCTACCAAAGAATCCTGAAGGAGAATGTCCAGCCATCTGTTCGTGACCTCAAGCTGAAACGCACTTGGGTTCTGCAGCAGGACAATGATCCAAAACACACCAGCAAGTCCACCTCTGAATGGCTTAAGAAAAACAAAATTAAGACTTTGGAGTGGCCTAGTCAAAGTCCTGACCTGAATCTGATTAAGATGCTGTGGCACGACCTTAAAAAGGCGGTTCAGGCTCGGAAACCCTCCAATGTGGCTGAATTACAACAATTCTGCAAAGATGAGTGGGCCAAAATTCCTGCACAGCGCTGTTAAAGACTCATTGCCAGTTATCACAAACGCTTGATTGCAGTTGTTGCTGCTAAGGGTGGCCCAACCAGTTATTACGTTTAGGGGGCAATCACTTTTTCACACAGGGCCCTGTAGGTTTGGATTTCTTTTTCCTCTAATAATAAAGATCTTTGTTTATAAACTGCATTTTGTGTTTACTTGTGTTATCTTTGTCTAATATTTAAATTAGTTTGGTGATCTGAAACATTTAAGTGTGACAAACATGCAAAATAATAAGAAATCAGGAAGGGGGCAAACACTTTTTCACACCACTGTATTACATATTGGGCAAATGAACATATTGCTGTAACATATGCCCTTAGAGGCTGAACCAACCCAGACAACCCCCCCTAAGATGATGGTTCTCAATGCAAAGTTTCCCAGTAGGAAATTCTTGCTCTTTTATCTTCCTTAGTCAAACAAACCTAATCCAAATCAGCTAATAGACCATTGAGGTCTACTACTTTTTCAAACTTATATCTGAAATGTTTCTATTATGTTTGAATTTGTTTGTATGTACGTGAAGAAGGATTTTTGTTGGTGTTTCTGAGAATCTCCAGTTCAAACATAGTGTATTGTAATTTGGCCATATGTTCTCATAGACATCACACCTAATGTCCTGTCTTGCTTATACACATACAAGTAATCACTTGCATATTATGTAATGATAAAATGTACAATGATAACACAAATACAAATAAATGCTTTCCCCCTGAACTCCCTTCCTCCACCCCCAACCTCCCATCCACCCACCCCCAGTTGGAAAACCAACACAATTAACACAGAAACAAAAGATAAACACCATAAATCTACAGAAGCTTAGTATATGCGTCCATATACATAGATACATGCACTTGTATGCATGCATACCCTTGCTGACACATTTAAAAAATAAATAATAATAATAATGCATTTTTAAAAATAATAAATAAATGAAAAATAAACAAATAAATACATAAATAAATACATTTTGCTGGAGTTAACAGAGTGAAAACAAAGAGAATAATCTGCTGTCCTGTCTTTGCGTGCATTACAGTATAAGTACTCTATATCCCTAATTTACCATCTTCAAACCCTTTAAGTAATTCACTAACGTTACTAGCCAGATTTTCCCATATTTGGATTGTTGGAGCCTTAGCATTGTGAATTCTAGCAGTAGAAAGCTCCATCAAAACTATATCATGAAAATAAAATAACCACTTTCTACTACGCAACATATGAGGGGGCATCCAACGCTTAAATATCAGTTTTTTTGCTGCGGTCAAACCAGCAAACATAAGTTTCCTCTGTTTCTTATTGAGCTGTAGTTGTGAATCATCATTGAGAAGCAAAAAAAATGGTTGAAGGGCAATGTCCTTTCCTATAAGTTTAGAAAGTATAGAAGTCACCTTCTTCCAAAATGAATAGACCCCTGGACAGTCCCAAACCATATGTTTCAAAGAACCAGGTACCCCTAAAGATCACAACTCACAGTTAGGATTTGACGTCAGTTTAGCATGAAATCTTGGTAGTGGTGTCCAGTATGCCCTATGAGAGCGCTTAAAGTGAATCAGTTGGTGATCAGGATTTTTTGATGCCTTAAAGATATTTCTCCAAGCCACCTCCCAATCCACCAGCTCAGCCTCAATTACCAAATCCTTTTCCCACTGATTTTGTATACTAAGACCGGAATCATATATTCCTTGCAGCCATGAGTATATGTATGAAACAAAGCCCTTGGAAGGGCACTTTAGTATCTGTTCTATAACTGGATGAGTTACCAGTCCTGATCTCCAAGGAACCCCATATGCTCGGAGCGTCGATCGAAGCCTCAAATACAGAGAAAATAATGTTCCTGGGATATCAAACATGAGACAAAGGTCTTGAAAACTGCGAAGCCCATCTGAATCATAAACATCACCGAATTAATGCCGTTTGATGCCCACTGTAGCTTCAAAACGTTTGCTATCTGACTTGATATCTCTATTATGCCACAAAGGTTAATGAGCATGCCCTTTCAGGGTGCACTTTGTTTGCTTCTCAACCACTCTGAAATTGGCTATTGTGTAAGCTATATTGGGACCAAAGTTAAGTAAACATTTAGTGTTGGAAATATTAGAAAACAGTAAATCTTGAAGTCTGATTGGATGAATCAATGCTTCTTCCAAATTCCTCCAAGAGGCAGATGATGAAGCGTTCATCCATGTTGTTACAGCACGCAACTGGAAAGACTGGTGGTAAAGTTTAAAATGTGGAAGGGACAATCCCCCTTTCGGTTTGGGACGTTGCAAAGAATTAAATTGTATTTTAGGATGTTTACCATTCCAAATATATTTGCGCAGCAGTTTATCTACCTTAATCCAGTAGCCAGACAGTGGTGGTAAAGGAATCATCATACTAGCAAAATTAAAATGAGGTAAAATGTTAATTTTAATTGTTGCAATTCTTGTCTGTAAGGATGCTGGCATGTTGGCCCATCTAACACAGTCACGCACCACTTCCTTATATATCGTCTCGGAATTATATTTCACTGTGCCATTCAAAGAAGTCTGAATGTTTATACCCAAATAATTCAGCTGTATTTTGACAGGAATTACTGATGGTACAGAGATATTTTTTACGTTGCTATTAAGTAACATTAAAGCTGAATTTGACCGATTAATTTTGTAACCTGATAATGCTTGAAAGTTTTCAAATGCTGGTAATAAATTGGAGATAGACTTAACAATATTGGTCATACAGAGGATGATATCGTCTGAGTAGAGGGATATAATGTGATATAACTTTGTTCTGTCTTAAATGCTGAGCTAAGGGTTCAATAGAAAGAATAAATAAATCTGATAAGGGTGACCCTTGACGTGTTCCATGAAAAACAGAAATGGGGAGTGACTGTAAACCATTAGTAATGGCCATAGCAGATGGGTTATTGTATTAAATCCGAATCATATGAATGAAGTTACGTCCTAAACTAAACTTCTGTAACACCATCCACAGATAATCCCACTCAATTCTATCGAACGCTTTCTCTGCGTCCAGAGACAGGACTGCACACGGAGCATCTTGTTGTTGTGACTCATGTAAAACATACATTAAACGCCGAATATTATCTGCAGCAAGCCATCTCTTCAAGAACCCAGACTGGGCAGAGTGTATTAATTTCCCAATATATTTACTGAGTCTATAGGCTAGCACCTTAGAATACAATTTAATATCATAATTTATCAATGAAATTGGATGAAAATTGGCAAGCTGAGTGAGATCTTTACCTTTTTTAGGTAACAAGGATATCATAGCAATATTCATATGGTCATGAAAAGTGCCCACCTCAGTTGCAAACTGTATGGCTTCATACAACACCGGACCAAGAATATCCCAAAAACACTCAATAAGAAAACTCTGAGATTAGCGATATAACCCACAGTCTACTGATCTGTCTGCCAGTTTAGTCTCTCTTCAGTGGACTGGTTCCAACTCCTATTTTATGATGAACTGCTAGATACAAATTAACTGTTCTTACAATTTTATTATACATATTTACATTAAATAATATTTATTATAGTTATGCACATACCTAGTGTAATGAAGTATGTAATAGCAAGGGAGCCAGGGATCAATCAACTCATACTTAAACATATAGCAGGACTCAGCCCACCAACCACAAATAAGGTACTCCAGGTCTAAGCTGTTTTTGTCAATAGGGAATTTTTTTTTAATTGCTGAAATTGTACCCTGTGGTAAACTAAAATTAAAGCTGCTATGTTTTCATACATTTTTATTTTGAAAAATGTATGCCCATTTTGAATTTGATGCTAACAACACATTCAAAAAAGTTGGGACAGGGGCAACAAAAGACCGGTAAAGCTGTGTAATGCTGAAAAACAACACCTATTGGAACATCTCACATCACTGCATCCATAAATGCAAGTTAAAAGTTGGTAGTACCATGCAAAGAAGAAAACATATAAAAGGAGGATTGAGAAATGCTGCGTCATTCTCTGGGCCTGAGCTCATTTAGAGGTTGAGATGAAGTGGAGAAGTGTCCTGTGGTCCGACGTATCAAAATTTGAAATTCATCTGGGCTAAGGAGGACAGGGAGCTTCCGGCTTGTTATCAGCAGACAGTTTAAAAGCCAGCATCTGTGATGGTATGAGGGGGCATGGGTGATTTGCACATCTGTGAAGGCACCTTTAATGCTGAACGATATATACAGGTTTTGGAGCAACATATGCTGCCATCCAGGTGACATTTTTTTCAGGGAAGGACTTGCTTATTTCAGACAATAGATACCAAACCACATTCCGCACCTGTGACAACAGCATGGCTCTGTAGGAAAAGAGTCCAGGTGCAGTCCAGACCTATAACCTGTTGAAAACATTACTGAGAAGAACTACTGAGCAGCTGAAATCCTGTATCAGCCAAGAGTGGAAAAACATTTCACTTTTTTTAAAACTGAGCAATTTCAACATTTGATATGTGTCTTTGTACTATTTTCAATTATATATAGGGGTTAAATTATTTGCACATCATTGCATTCTGTTTGTGCAGTGGGTAGCGCTGTAGCCTCACAGCAAGAAGAGCCTGGGTTCGATTCCCAGCTGGGTGACCAGGGTCCTTTCTGTGTGGAGTTTGCATGTTCTCCCTGTGTCTGTGTGGTTTTCCTCCCACAGTCCAAAGACTTTCAGTCAGGATAATTGGACATGTTAAATTGCCCTTAGGCGTGAATGTGTGTGTGATTGTGAATATGAATGTATATGTCTGTCTGTCTGCCTTGCGATGGACTGGCGACCTGTCCAGGGTGTATCCTGCCTTCTTCCCAGTGACAGCTGGGATAGGCTCCAGCACCCCCCCACGACCCAGAAGGATAAGCAATTTAGATGATGTGTGTTTCTACATTCTGTTTTTGTTTACATTTTGCACAGCTTCCAAACTTTTTTGGAAACAGGATTGTGGAATTAGCTCCATAGCAGAGTGAAAGCCTTTGAAGACAAATATGTAACATTTATGTAATTAATCATACAGAGATGTCTCTGTACAGCTAAGATTTTCTTTGGTGTGTGTGTGTATGTGTGTGTGTCTTTGCATGTGTGTCTGTGCATGCAGTTTAGTTACAGATTTAAGCCATACATCCGTTACTGCATGGAGGAAGAGAGCTGTATGGAGTACATGCGCACTTTACTGAAGGACAACGAGCTGTTCAGGATCTATGTGACTGTGAGCATGCTGGCATTCACTTCAATATGTGGCATAGAGTTGTTATGATTTAACTATATAAGATTGACAGAGGTCATCACATTCAGTATGTTTTAGCTCACAACAAATGTTTTGTACTCTTTGATTAGCTTGCTCAAGAGTATTAGGATCTGAAATAGAACAAAGAAATCAACTGGCTTGATGTTACTGAGGACTGAATAGAAGCTCTCAGCACATTGCTGAGGAGTTATGTGGTAAATGTACCAGAAACCCTTAGCATAATTTCTGTTAAAGACACAACACAATAAATAACTGCACATGAAAGCAGTAAGCTCTAAAGAGCTTGCTTTTGTCCCTGCAGGGAATATTTAGTCATCACTGATCCCTAAATAAAACTCATTTGGTGGCTACTTCATTCTTGTTGTTGTTGCACATAATGAGAACAAGACAATAAATATTCTTCAGTTCAGAGGGTTTATGTGCTTATTGTTGTGATGCAGACACCCCACCAGTGTAGATGACAGATCTTTCTTTCTTGGCATTCATCCCATAAAGTTATACTTGGTGGAAGCTTTTGCAGTGCCAGATGGCCAGACTGTCTGTTGTTTTTTGCAGTGGGCAGAGACCCATAAGCAGTGTAGCCGGCTGAAGCTGACCGACATGCTAGTAAAGCCTCACCAGAGACTTACCAAGTACCCACTGCTTCTGAAGAGTGTGCTGAAAAAGACTGATGACCAGGGAGCACGAGAAGCCATCAATAGAATGGTAAGAAGGATAATACAGTAAATGCAGTATTACCTTTATCCAAGAAGTTGATACCATCTTAAGCCCTGTTCAGACTGGTTTAGTGATTACAGTGTCTGTAACTTGTGAGTAATTACACTGATAGTTGATACCATACAAATTGGCCCATCAGATACCTTAACAGCTACATTACAGAACCTTGTCTTGCACAACTAATTCAGCTGGAATAGCACTTTAGTGTCCTGCGTATGTTGTAAATGTCCAAAGCTATATGTAATGTACAAACATGCATGCACTGTTAATTACTGTATGGGATTATTCACTACTATTCGACATTAAGCTTAAACTACGTGGTGTGTTTAACTACAGGTTGGTGCAGTGGAAGGCTTCATCAACAATGTGGACTCTCAAATGAGGCAACGAGAAGAGAAACACAAGTTGGCAGCCATTGCTAGCCGCATTGAGGCCTATGAAGCCGTGGAAGGCGCTAGCGAGGAGGTAGAAAAGGTGAGACAACTTAAACATGTTCAGCAAGAACCCTCACACTTGTTAAACCTTGACCGTCTTGGTTGTCCAAAAGCTGTGGCCTACACTGACTGTTATAAAACCCTCAGATCCTCAAGGAGTACAATCAGTTCGACCTGACTGCTCCAGTGATGGGTGCCTCACCAGAGGAGACACGGCAACTTCATCTGGAGGGAGCACTGAGGATGAAGGAGGGAAAGGAGAGCAGGGTGAGAAATCTGACCTTAAGTATTGATTCAGCTAGTTTCAGCTAATGTGGTGAAAATACATTCAAACTATTATACTCTCAGGAAAAGCATAGAGCTGTGTAAAGTTCTGTAGAGTCCAATTGGAAGCCCTTTGAGGCTCCATTTATGTCATTTGTTTCTTGGAGAAAAGTATGGCCCTTTACTGTGCTTTTACTTTTTTGTTATTATTATTTTTGCCCAATTTCTTCAGTGTTAGTCATTGCCAATTCCTACTTGCTGCCTAAATTAGAAAGCTACCAATACCATCCAATTTGGGAGTGTGCACGCAAGCATATACTTCCTCCAAGACATGTAAAGATGATCACCACTTCCCTTTTTTGAACTGTCAATCATACAGTGTCATAGGGTCCTAGGGCAGCTGAGAAAACTGTGACTGTGTATGTGTTTTGGCAGATATCCAGTATTGGCCAGCTTTGACAGGAGAGTGAACTATCTATACCCTGGCCGAATATATTAAATATATTTCCGTTTCATGTCTTTAACCTGTGTCCATTTCCCATCACACAATGATATCCATGAAACTGGGGGGGGTTTCAGGGAGGTTGTGTAGTGGTGACATGATTTCCTAAGCAATGTAAATGTTAGCAACAAACACAAATAACAGTACCAACAATGGAGGAGTGTCATTAAGGAAGAAGGAGCTTCACTTAGGAGCTTTTTGGGATGTTAATTTATTTGGCACAGACCAGCTAGTTATTTTAAGAAATGTCAGTTGTTTTATAACTTGAGTAACAATTCTGTGATGATTGCTGTTTCTAGCTCTTCCCAGTGCTCTTGGTGCCCTGACATGAAGGGTATCCAAAGTCACTTAGAATAGTGATAGGCAGTAGACATTATGACAAAATGTGTAATCACAGATTTATAATTGTACTGTACCATTCAGCGCTTTCCAGTGGAAAAGCGATATTACTAGTCATTTCCATCCAGAGAGTCGTGTCAGTTGTGTTCTTGTCAATGGTTCAGCCACAGATGGCTGTGCCATCATGTCAACTCAAATTCGGGTCCTAACCATTGACTGTGCATACTTTTAGCGTTTTCCACAATTCTTCTTTCATTGGTTATTCAATTTCCTCTACATTTCTCTATCTCCTCCTCAGATGGACGTGTACTGTTTCTTGTTCACGGATGTACTGTTGATCACCAAGCCAGTGAAGCGTGTAGAGAAGGTGAAGGTGATTCGCCAGCCGCTGGTCATTCAGAACGTGGTCTGCAGGGAGCTGAAGGACCCAGGAGCCTTTCTCCTCATCTACCTTAATGAGTTCCGCACTGCTGTGGCCTCCTATTGCTTTCAGGCTAACAGTGCTACACAGGGACGCAGCTGGGTGGAGGCCATCTACAATGCTCAGGTACTTGCTCATTCATAAAGTCTACTTTTGTCAACCATACACAATGAGTCACTGATGTCATATTATTCCTTACATTCATATCTTTAATAACACTACTAATTTTACTTCTTGAGGAAGGTATCTCAGTATGTGTGGTAGATTAGCATAGCAGAGGTTTTCCACTGTAAGACACTAGACTGTTTTATTCAGTATCAGCTTGAGAGACTTCGCTCTGAATCGCGGAGGGATGAGAGAGATGAAGAGGAAGAGGACGAGACAGAAAGCAGCATGTCCACATCCAGTTCCCCCTCTCTGCAGCATAAAGAACCACTAGGCAAGAGGTAATGCTTAAAGTGTCTAGAACACCTTGTATAATAACAATCAAAAATGCTAGTAATTTCTAAATAAATCCAAAGGGAAAAAAAATAATTATAGCAAGTTGGAGCTAGTTAGTATTATGCAATGACCCATGCTGACTCAGCCTTCTTGTCTACATTCATTGTTGGCCATATTAGCATTCTAATGGATATTATTTTTCTCCAAAGCCTTTCTCTCTCACCCAGCCATTCGGATGGGTCCACCGAGACCCTCTCGGTAGTTGCAATAGACGAGCAAGACGATGTAAGATCCTCGTTGCCACTGGAGACAGAGCCGGCGTCTCTCAGAGGCTCACTGCACTCTGATTCGTCAAGCCCACGCGACTCCTTTTCCACCAATGACAGCCAAGCTCTGGAGGGGCTGAATGATCTGGTTGCCATGGAGCTGGATCCAGAGAGTCGTTCTCTGTCTATAGACAGTGCCTATGGAACCCTCTCTCCTGAGTCTCTGATTGCTGAGTTGGAGTTGAAGGGAGCGGTGGAGCAGAATGAAGGAGAGGAGACAGATACCGGGGAGGAAGAGGAGGCTTTTGAGGAACATGATGATGCTGACAATGATGATGACGATGCAGACGAAGAGGACTCAACAGCCTGGAATGGCTCTCAAGTTACTGTTAATGAATCATGCACCTTGGACGATCATTCTAACCACTTGAAGGAGCAAGTGGAGGAAGCCGAGGAGATGAAAAATGTAACAAATGGTTGTCAGGATTTGGGTTTTCGCTCACTAACATTGCGGCGCCGTTCTCCTGTCCAGCCCCGCCTGGACTACTTGCAGCACTTTGCCCTCAGGTCACGATCTGAGGACGACCTACTCCAGCGACTCGCTGCACCGTTGCACTCAGGAGCAATCTGGAGTGACAGGAGCAGCCGCAACATCAGCAAGAGCCTGTCACAGCTATCCAAACAGGTGCAGTACAGCAGCGAGCACCTACGGGTAGAGGAGGGGCAGCCAATACAGAACCCCATCACTGTGCCCGACAAAGTCATGAACACTTTGATGAGAGCAGAGTCTCAGCTCATGCACAGGGCCCTGAGGTGTCCTAATGGCCAGGTCGAGAGTGAGAGAACATCAACCAGTGGTGCTTTGGAAGAAAAGGGTGACATGATGGCATTCCAGCAGCATCACCAGCATAGGAAGCTGACCAGAGCTCAGCTGCAAAGGATACGCACTACCATGGTGCTCAACTCCACACTCACTGCCTCGTAAGTTTCATAACACTTCTAATCATGGAATGGGACAGTCATTAGTTTCAGTGATATACCGTTGTATAAAACCCAGTGGTAGTCACATTTGAATAATTTTGAAACCCTGTCAGGGCAGAAGTAAAAAGCCAAGCAGTATATATTCAGAACAGAAAACAGTAGTAGTTCCTGTGATAATTTCATGTTTATATAATTTAATTTTCTTGACAGTGTCCTCTTTTCTGGTTCAATGTTAAATATTATTTAACATGGTTTTTTTTTATACTGTCCTATCCCTAACTACATTCATAAAATAAATTACTTTTTATTTCTGATTGTATCAGCTTCCAAAGCAGGTAATTAAACTAGTATTAAGTTAAAGAATGCATGAGATTAGGCTGTCCATAGCTTCATGTTATACATTAATTTGAGCAGCAGTTGTTTACACCACTAATTATGTTTCCCTTTTGTAGTACACTCACAAACACCATCCTGAGCCTCTGTTAGCCTACATTAGTAAAGGCTCTCATTCCAGACATGTGCTATCAGCATCCTGCACCCACCGTCTTGAGCCATGGTCCTATTGCAATTGTGTCAACACTAGACATTAAGATGTAGCCCCTTTCTTCCTTGTAGCCCTTCCAAATGACCTGCTGACTGATTGTTTCTGCACAATCTGACTTCAAAGCTTGCGGTCATTGTCTACACATGCTGTCTCAATGTGACCTCCCATAATATATGGTCATCAGCAGCTACTTTTTTCCACAGCAAAATCGCCATCAGTCAGGAAGGTGACGATTTTCTGTTTTTATGTAATGCCTCATAGGGTGAGACATGGTGATCTCAGCCTTGCTCCCAGCCTTGCTTCCACCGAGGCCTGAAATAGGCAGGCTCCATTGTCCACAGCCTGTGGGAAGCTGGCATTTCAACATCCAGGCCTTTTGTCTCTCTCGTCTTTTATCTAACAATCTGAGTCTCCACCCTGAGTTATTAAGGAGCTGTAGTTTGGTCTTGCTAAACCATTAGAGTGAATGTCTGGATTTTCATGAGTGTATTTCTGTCAGATGTAGGAAGCAGTGACGATACATGTTATCTTTTAGGTTTAAGTTTGGACCTTGTGTATCATGTGAAATAAAGTCTGGAGGCTAGTGGTCAAACTATATGGGTCTCGTACTGATAGTTGGTTGTTCTTGAATGCAGACCATTTGAGAATAATATTCTACATGCTGAACAATTAAGGAATGTTATTACAAAACAAATGCTGTATATCTGTAAAAAATTTGGATATAATGAGTTTTTGAAAAGAATAACAGCTAACATATAATGGAAAACACTTTTTTCTCTAATGAAGGTGGTATTAATTATAATATAGCATTGATATTTATTGTATGTGTAAAGCCCTTTCCCAACTATATATGTTGAAAAAAAGAAAATTCTTGAAAGTGGTCTATAATGCATTTTTGGAATTAAACCCTTCATTTACAAACTACTATAAGCCACCGCATTGCTATGGTTTAACTTGCAATAAAGATAGAAAATACGTTTTTCTCAACATACACTTGCTTACATATGCCAGATATGCCGGTTTCTTCCATGCCACTAAAAGCCAGATGTACATGAAAGGTGGGCATCTTCACTGGTTAATGCCAGTGCTCAGAAAATCTGAATAGGAGCCCATATTACACAAGCATCCCTGGAGACTTAAGGAAAGTTTGATGTAAGTGCAACAGGAGTGTACTGGTGAATAATACACACCAAACAGGATCCAAACAGACAAGACTAGAAGTACTCAGCAGTATATATGACTATAGGAATGCGTAAGACTATACACAATAATAATGCTATACACAAAATTTTGCAAAGAGTAACAGAACATTATAGGCTGGCTAAAGTCTTTTTCTGGGGATGGTGATGAACAGGTGATCAGAATTTTGGAGAGGTGGAGTGAGGCAGGTGCAGGGAGTGTGATACTTCAAAATTATCGAGAACTGATAAATGAGAGTTTCACATTGGTGTGGTGTAAGGTTATTCATTTACTAACTTTGTATTTTTCTGCTCTTTCCTAGGGAGGTATAGTGTCCGAGGGAGCTTAAGCACATGCCATTAGCTGGTCTATTGGTGATCTGTACGTTGCACCAACACCGTCACCGGTATCAACAGCAGGGATCTCTGTAGCTGTCCAAGAGGATAAGAACTTAAGAATGATGGATCTCAGTGGAATGCTTTCAGCAACACGTCACTGAAAGTTCATCACATCAATGATAACGTTCTTCCAAAGTCTTTTTTCAAAGTTGTGGTTTGGTTTTGTATGAAGATAAAACCTACTAAAAAAAGAAAATACATTGGAAAGAGGAAAATAACTATGTTTTACATTGTAGCATAAACCTTACCTTCGAAGGGCTAAATAGAACTTTTTGTGGTCTGGACCCCATTTGCGGACTACTCAAAATCATGCTATCCATCAAGGCCATTAAGATGAAAGCATTGTATGTTTTTCTATCTTAAGGGTACACCTCCAAAGCCTCATAAATTATTTATCAAAAAAATGCACATTTGTGTATAAAGGCAGTGTTCCAGGTGACCTCGCATCATGTAACTTGCTGTAATCAGGGAGTTTATTTACTTAAGGATGAGGCTTGCATAGTTTGTACCTCAGTTGAAGCTTACATTCCATTGTGGAGCTGCAAAAGTGCAAGAGGTAACAAAGTCTTGTGCTGACAAGTTGCGAGTGTATAAGCTCAAGTTTATTTTTTTTTTAAGTCATCCTCTTTGATCTGTGATGACAGTCATTCTTCTTCTTTATTCCACATTGAAGTGCACTTGAAAAAAAAAAAAACAATCACAAATAAAATCTGAAGATAAAGAGCAAATGAATAAACACAGAAAAACATTTACATTTCTTGGAGATGACCAAGTCAAGGGTAGATGTATTAAAGCTGTAGAGTTATACTGCCCCTTGTGGGTGTCTAACAATATTGAAAGCTTTTGTGAGCATAGCATGATTGATCCACTTAACAATAATCATCAAATTATTAATCAAAACCAAATAGTTTTTCAAACTACCTTCAGAGAGACTAAATGTCCCTAAAATTGATAAAGAGCTTCAAGACCTAAGGGAAAAACACAAGAAAAGGGAGACAAAACATTAGATGTTTGGCTTATACAAACATTTCAGAGACATTTGTGGGCCACTTTTTGTTTAATGTACTGTAAATACAATATTTATTGAGGCTTCATTGTTTATCGAAAAAATATCTCTATTGTTAGGTTCTGATTGTTTTTCATTATTGTTTGAAATATCAGCATGTAGCATTGTTTTTTCACCTTTTTGACAATGAAAAATAAGAGCTGAATCCATATCCCTTTGTCTTAGGTTTTGATCCTTATCAGTTTATTGCTGATATGCGTCCTACTGCATTGACTTACAAATAAAATGATTAAGCTGCCAAGATCCACACTGTTTCCTGTGCTACTTGACACCAGAGCACATGCTGTTTGATAGGTAAATAGGTAGAGTTATATTTGGACAGTTATTTTTACATTTTGAGAACTTTAGCCCTGTTACCTATAAAGTGGTAAAGTTGTGTTGAAAGCTATGATCTATAATATATTTAATTAATACACCACCCTAGTGTTGTAGAACTCAAGTACAGACCTGAGACGGTAAATTAATGGTCTTGGTCTTGTCTCAGTCTCAACATCATCTGTGTCTAGTCTCAGTCTTGGAGTAAGGTGAACTCCTGAGACCAGCCAAATGCAATGACTCTGTATGAGGTCACTGGAAATAGAACATTTTTCTACCCTTACTAAATATCAACAAAACCTTCAAACAGAATGAAAGTACTTCCTCTGCAGGTTTAAATAAAATCTGCTTGCTTCCTTTTCCATCATGGCTGAATTGGGTACAACCTCACCATCATGTGCTTCCAAAAGTTACAATGCAAAGGTGGACTAAGACTATAAAATAATCATGATTACTGCTATTTTAGGTTATATATTATTTACAGTTATAGTTTACAAAATATACAATACAATATTGTTTAAATGGTTTAGGAATGCAAAGAAATTGTTATTTTGCTAAATTCTCATATGCTACTGTTGAAATCAGTTTGTAATCTCCAAATAGATTTGTGCAAAAACATTTTTGTTATTTTGACCTATGATTATGAATGCTGTTACCTTTATCTATCATTTGAAGTGTTTTCCTAATATAAGGTACACAAACTGTCCTATTATGTTTGAATGACCCAAAACAAATATTGGTGTTGTGTGATGATGCTGCTTAACATATTTAAAGGAATCTTTTAAAATGAAAGAACATTCACTCTTGTGATACATAATTTGATTGAAACCTGAGTGATTAGTCTATTAGCATTGCCATGCACCTGGGACAAGTTAATGTTTCTTGTCCCTTTATTACCATCTGTGAAATTTTATACATGTTCAGTGTACAGCTTACAGTCAGCACATAAAATAAATGCTCTATTAAAATCTTACGGATAGCGCACATGTGGAATTGGTCAGGGAAAAGAAGTGTCACAGGACAAGTCCCCTGTCAGCAAGTAGTTATTTTCTGCCAATAACTGTGGAGAACTGAAAACTTTGAGCATAGTAATAGTCCTAAATGAAAGGACTGTTAATGTCTGCATACTGTAAGGTGATAGTATCTCATGTGATCTCCACTATAGCCACCAGGGGGCAGTAACACTCCGTTTTCAGCCTTGGCTCATCCTGCGGACTTTAAAGAGCTGCCAGGAAAACAGAGCTGAGGTCATGCAAACCAACCACACGGTTTTCACTTTTACTGACCAACTTATCTTTTCTGCCAAGCACTGGTTCTAGTTTTTTTATATTTTTACACTGAATTCCACTTTTGAAGTTTGCATGGATTTATGTACCGAAAACAGTCATAATTCACTTTTACACAACCATTTTTGAACCTCTCCTCTCTTAGATAAGGGCTGCCCCAAGACGTGTGGCCTGTGGCCCAAAGTTGGCCAAGTTATCCTAAATCCATTACTTCATCAAGTGAGAGAACAAACCTATTTATATACATACAGTCATGGCAGAAAGTGTTGGCACCCCTGAAATTTTTCCAGAAAATTAAGTATTTCTCCCAGAAAATTATTGCAATTACACGTTTTGTTATACACATGTTTATTTCCTTTGTGTGCATTGGAACAACACAAAAAAAACAGAGAAAAAAAAGCCAAAAATGATATGATTTCACGTAAAACTTCAAAAATGGGCTGGACAAAATTATTGGCACCCTCAACTTAATATTTGGTTGCACACCCTTTGGAAAAAATAACTGAAATCAATCGCTTCCTATAACCATCAACAAGCTTCTTGCTTTTTTGTGTTGTTCTAATACACACAAAGAAAATAAACGTGTATAACAAAACGTGTAATTGCAATAATTTTCTGGGAAAAATACTGTATATGGATCATCCTACCGAACTGGTTCAAAAGTAGAGCTGAAAACTCATTTTGGACTTTAAACTGACTTGGACTTTAGACTAAAATCCTTTCACTTTGAATGTTCCCACACCTTAATTATGTTTATTTTTTTTAAAACAAATAAGTGAACATTCCATTTTGTCACCAACAATACAATCATAACACTACCGAAACTTCACGGAATGTTTTCATAATGACTGTTTGAGCAGTGAGTTAGCATATCTCAAAACACTAGCCAGAACATGGCTAGCAAGCACAATTTTGAACAGTTGTAAACATAAAATCATAATATTTTTCACCATGTTACAAAATTATTATGAGCTTACTTAACTGCAGAAAATACATGTTTCAGTAATGACCACTCTCAAAGGTTACACACTCCTTTTCAGGGCACATTTACTTCAGATCATTGGAATCTAACTGCATCATGTGGCCATGAGAGACAGGGATGCAGCCTCACTACCTGCTCTAAAATTCAGGAATGTGGCTAAAATAAGGCTTTGCCTATGGACTTTTTATTATTATTATTAAAAATTTAACTCATGATAAACCTAAAAGTTTCAAAGAAATCAAAAAGATCTTTAGAAAATGAAATGATCTTATGGAAAAGAACACAAAAATGTAAGTATTACTTTTTACTACTGAAATTTAGGGGTTAGGGTTTTCTTTACTGTGAGACTACAGTTTGAATAATTTGAGAATGTGGTCCATATATAACTTATTCATGTCTTATTTTCAATATTAATATTGCATTTTGAAGTATTTTATTAACAAAAGATTTAAAAAAAAATTAAAAAACGTTATTTATATAAGTTTTTTTTCTTTTTGGCTCCTCAAGACAAAAAGTTTGATTAACAGGCTCTTTTTCTTAAGACTGTTGTAGGTAAATTGCCTCTGTTCTGATTGGCTGCACTGTCTTTGCATCATTGAAAAAGCAGTCCAGGCTAAAATATGGTGTAATAAGCGTGATGGGTCAGTTCAGAAAGCACTGATTATCTTTGATACAGATCCGGAAGAATTAATATAGCTTTTTGTATGTATGTAGATCTTATAAGCATTTTTTAAGCCATGTTTTTTCTTTTCGACAGTCTTTTTTCTCTCAAACTTTTCTTGTTGTTTAATATAACACTTCAGTGTCATACAAACATTTTAAATATTGTACACTGTGTTTCCTGGGACTTTAAAAAAGAAGTAGAATCCTTAAGCACTAAACTGCTGTAGGCTGAAATAGTAGATACATATGAATGTGTTGGTTTCTGCAACGTCACAAAAACAATAGATTCAAAACAGTCTATGGACTGGGTAGTAAATGAGACATTTTGAAACAACAATAATTTTTATGTACTACATCAAATGTTTATTTAAAAAAAATTATGAGAAGTTTCCATGATATGTTCCATGATATTCAGCGTGATACAAAATGATAAACAAAGCATATCTTTCTCTGTGTTGGTGCTCTGTGTGCTTACACGTCTCTGCTAAAGTCACTCCGCAGAGAACAGACAGATGTTGGCAGTTTAGTGAGCCAGCGGAGGAAGAACAGTCTCCCAATAGCCTTGTGTTTATTTGCTCCCTGGAGTTTTATTTGAAGGAGAGAGAGCCGAGTCTGCACTATCCATGGGTAACCCCAGTCTCTTGGCTCCCAGACTGTAAACACTACATACTTGCTAGCCTAAGAAGACTGGGTGCATTTCATGATATGTGGTTGTATGTTTAGGTTTAATGTGTATAATCAGTATTGTATTGTGTAATTGGGGTGTCATTTAACCCCTGTAATTCCAAAAAATGATCCTTTACTTATTTTTTTATGGTAAAAAAAATGCTGTTTCTAAATGCTGTATGTAGGTTTTATTCATATTCGAAGTTACTTATCTGAAACATGCACATGAGTTACTGTGAACAACACTTTACCTGTGTTTAAAATGTCTTTTACCTTTACATACTTATTTGGTAATGTAATGTCAGTGGAATACAACTGGCATCCCAGTCATGGAATGACCCAGCTAACTTTTATGGTCCTTGGCAAAATAAACATTAACTAAAATAAACCAAAACCACAAACTGACACAATAATTTGACAAAGTTTTAACAATACTTCATGTAAAAGTTATATACAGTCATGGCAGAAAGCGTTGGTACCCCTGAAATTTTTCCAGAAAATGAAGTATTTCTCCCAGAAAATTATTGCAATTACACGTTTTGTTATACACGTTTATTTCCTTTGGGTGTATTGGAATAACACAAAAAGCCAAAAATGATATAATTTCACGCAAAACTCCAAAAATGGGCTGGACAAAATTATTGGCACCCTCAACTTAATATTTGGTTGCACACCCTTTGGAAAAAATACCTGAAATCAATCGCTTCCTATAACCATCAACAAGCTTCTTACACCTCTCAACTGGAATTTTGGACCACTCTTCTTTTGCAAACTGCTCCAGGTCTCTCATATTTGAAGGGTGCCTTCTCCCAACAGCAATTTTAAGATCTCTCCACAGGTGTTCAATGGGATTTAGATCCGGACTCATTGCTGGCCACTTCAGAACTCTCCAGCGCTTTGTTTCCATCCATTTCTGGGTGCTTTTTGAAGTATGTTTGGGGTCATTGTCCTGCTGGAAGACCCATGACCTATGATGCAAACCCAGCTTTCTGACACTGGGCCCTACATTGCGACCCAAAATCCTTTGGTAATCTTAAGATTTCATGCTGCCTTGCACACAGTCAAGGCACCCAGTGCCAGAGGCAGCAAAACAACCCCAAAACATCTTTGAACCTCCACCATATTTGACTGTAGGTACTGTGTTCTTTTCTTTGTAGGCCTCATTCCGTTTTTGGTAAACAGTAGAATGATGTGCTTTACCAAAAAGCTCTATCTTGGTCTCATCTGTCCACAAGATGTTTTCCCAGAAGGATTTTGGCTTACTCACGTACATTTTGGCAAACTGCAGTCTAGCTTTTTTATGTCTCTGTGTCAGCAGTGGGGTCCTCCTGGGTCTCCTGCCATAGCGTTTCATTCAAATGTCGATGGATAGTTCGCACTGACACTGATGCACCCTGAGCCTGCAGGACAGCTTGAATTTCTTTGGAACTTGATTGGGGCTGCTTATCCACCATCCAGACTATCCTGTGTTGCAACCTTTCATCAGTTTTTCTCTTCCATCCACGTCCAGGGAGATTAGCTACAGTGCCATGGGTTGTAAACTTCTTGATTATGTTGCGTACCGTGGACAAAGGAACATCAAGATCTCTGGAGATGGACTTGTAACCGTGAGATTGTTGATATTTTTCCACAATTTTGGTTCTCAAGTCCTCAGACTCTTCTCCTCTTTCTGTTCTCCATGCTTAGTGTGGCACACACAGACACAATGCAAAGATTGAGTCAACTTCTCTCCTTTTTATCTGGTTTCACGTGTGATTTTTATATTGCCCACACCTGTTACTTGCCACAGGTGAGTTTGAACGAGCATCACATGTTTGAAACAAAGTTATTTATCCACAATTTTGAAAAGGTGCCAATAATTTTGTCCGGCCCATTTTTGGAGTTTTGCGTGAAATTGTATAGTTTTTGGCTTTTTTCTCAGGAAAGAAACATGTGTATAACAAAACATGTACAATTGCAATAATTTTCTGGGAGAAATACTTCATTTTCTGGAAAAATTTCAGGGGTGCCAACACTTTTGGCCATGACTGTAGGTGATTGAAAGAGTCATTCATTTTACATTAACACTTCCTTTTGCAGTTGCCCTGAATCTTTTTCCTTCATTTCTGGCAGCATGTTGACACACCAAGCCCATTCTCCTTGGACACAATTTACTACAAAGAAACCAACTACGCTAACAACACCATAATATCAACAATAACAAATGTCTCTTTTTTTTACACCAGGAGTGTGGCGTCTCCCGAGACCCAGAGTCTGCCAATTTCTCTTCAGGAAAATGCTCATTATTGACAGGGTTGTGAGGTAATGGAATAAAAGTACTGGGACCAGAATATAGAATATAGATTCAGAATATTCAGTATTCAGAATATAGAAATGAAGTATCTGTATTCTGCCCAAGTTACATTTTGTAAAGACAGTATTCAGAATACAATTACCTTTCACATTTTTAGGAGAATACTTTTAGAATATTTACTCACTACTTAACATGTCTGCAAGTTTAGCATCAGTGTCGTACTGGACTCTTGCTCAGGGGATTGTGGAAGCAGCAGCGGACTAATGCAGGTAGAAAAAAGCTACGAATTCTTACAACTTAATTTAAATGATAAGCGACTACATGATACATATTAACACAATAATTACATGAAGAAAACTGTCAATTAGTAAAAGCGAGAAACATTTAGGACAGTGTTCAGTATTCAGCCATCACTACTTTTTCGAAGTATTTTGCCCAATGCTGTTTATTAAAACAGCAGAGAACATAACATGATGATGGTAAACACTTCCATCATGATAATTGGCTGAAAAGGACTTTACCATAACCAAAAGTTTCACACATTTCAACTTTAAAACAACAACATCTAACACATTAAATTTTAAGTAATTAACGGCTGTGGAGAGGCACATGACATTCTTGGAGTCCTCTACATACTCCTCTCTGCTCTCCCAATTGGCCCAAAGTCCAGTGGCAACACCACACAGCAGCCCCCAGCCACGCCACAAAGCCTGAACGAAGTCCCCACAAGCACCAGGGTGCTTGCACCCCCAGTGCTTTCTTGGGCGCCTCTTGGCCCGGCACGGTCTCTCCTTTGTCGTGCACTTGTCACAGCAATGCTGGTACAGCTCCACATCCATGGCCATTAGGACCTCTACCACAACTGCTTTAGCGTCATGCCCATTCTAAAACCATCAGTCGGCGCATGCACTGGACCCAGCACTGTCTGGGCAGGGCAGAACTCTTCACTGTCCAGCTGTAATGCTAGGTGACCACTTGCAGCTGTGCAGAGTACCCAGGCGCACTCGCCACTGAAGCATGGTAAGCAGATGCATGCTGTCTCTCTCTTGGTGGGCTTCGCTGTCAAGCCTGGCCATGCTGTTTCCTTCACCATCTTCCACAACCAGCCACCTCACTCTCGGCTGGCTGGACCCGTGCAGGAGGGGGGTGGGCATGGCACTTGGTACCCCCCTTTCCTTTGGGCTATGTCTTCTCTGCCATCCACCTTCAAGTTAGTACACCACTTTACTTCTTCCAGCTCAGGGGATATATCCTATTTCTGACACCAGTGTGTTCTTCACTGCAGAAGAAGACCTGGAGCCTGCTATTCTGCCATTTTCTCTTAAGGAAAATGATCTTTGATGTTGAGACAGCAGAGAGGGAACTAACACATGGGGGGAAAGCAAGGGACAGGCAAACATAACACAACAATGGTAAACACTTTCAGTATGCTAATTAGCTGAAACAATTTACCACATCCAAACTTTAAAACAACAACGTATTAAATTTAACTTTAAATAAAGGAATAAATTAAATAACAGTTGTGGACACGGCATCCTGGTTGTCCTCTAGATGCTCCTCTCTGCTCTTGGCCCAAAGTCTTAAGTCTGGTGGTAACAGCATTATATAATAAACTATATGGACAAAAGTATTGGGACACCTACATGTCACACCCACAGGAGTTTTTAATTATGTCCCATCCTAAATCCTTAGGCAATAATATGGAGTTTGCCCCCCTTTTGCAGCTTTAACAGCTTCTCCTCTTCTCAGAAGGCTTTCTACAGGATTATGGAGTGTATCTGTGGAAATTTTTGCCCGTTCATACAGAAGAGCATTTGTGAGGTCAGACACTGATGTCGGACAAGAGGGCCTGGCTCACAATCTCTGTGCTAGTTCATCCCAAAGTGTCCGACGGGGTTGAGGTCAGGGCTCTGTGTGGGCCAGTGAAGTTCAAACCAGGCTTTTTTGTCCAGGCTTCCAGTCATGCTGGAAGGGAAAAGGGCCTCCCCCAAACTGTTCCAACAAAGTTGATCTATGATCCATAGCATAGAATTGTCCAAAATGTCTTGGTATGCTGATGCATTAAGATTTCCTTTCACTGGAACTAAGGGTTCTAGGTCAACCCCTGAAAAACAACCCCATAGCATTATCCCTCCTCCACCCAACTTTACACTTGGCACCATGCAGTCAGGCAGGTAACGGTCTTCTGGCATCTGCCAACCCCCCCCCCATCTGGAATCAGTTTCAGAACACCAGTAAACCATTAGAATCCGTTACACTGTGCTATCAACCCATCAGGAAAACACAAAATACCATTAGTGACTCTTGGACATCACCACGAACCAACAGAAACTTTTAATGGTTTCTTTGACTTTTTCAGCGGGGTGGATGAAGTAAAAAATGCAGTAGCAGTTTGTTTTGCCATCGTCTGCCACAAGAAACTGAAATATGGGAGTAGTTTGTTATTGCCAGCACCTCATTAGCTTATCTGCTTTCACTCTGTCTTTGCTGTTTAAATTGTCCTTAGTTTAGTTTCTTGGTCTTGTTGGGAGTAAAACAACAACAACATTGTTGCTACACATGCATACGCGAATCTTTACTGGATTTTACTGTCTTTACAGCAGTTACCTCTCAAAACTCACTAGACTGTATTAAATGACCTCTCAAAACTGAGAATATGCAAAGTCTAGGAATGAAGGAATACTTCCTATACTCCCGTTTTCCATCATTTCTGTCAGTATGATCTGACCTACTGGACTTCATGCTGATAGAAAACGTTTCAGTGAACTTCGCTCTTTCCAGCGTACTTTCCTATTTTCCGTTTAACTTCCCAAAAAACTCCTCAACATGCGAAAATATGCATGATCTTCATCGTCTCCTTCAAAGTCACGAGTTTAAACTGCATTAAGTAACCTCTGAAAATCTAGAACATGTAAAACGTTCTAGGTGAGGAGAATTTTCTTTCTTTATGAAGAAATGTGGAACATGAGTTAAGGGATGAGAGTGCCGGGCGGTGAGTGGGGGTTCTGGACGGGGGGAGAGAGTCGAGGCTCCGGTTTGCTTTAGCTTTAGCTTAACACAGCTGTGGGTGGGTCCACTGCTGCTGCTGCTGTTGTCGCTGGTCGACCAACAGCGAGCGGTTCTGGGAGTTTGTACCATCTCGTACAGGTGATAAGAGTCCCTGCCGTTTCTGCCTTCCACGCTTTGGAAAAGCCACTTCTTAAGTCCAGGTGAAGTCTGGGAAATGACTGACATGAAGAAAGCAGGTGTGCGCGTTGTCGTCCAGACGCTGCTCTTTCTTCAGAGTGAGTATCTACCTGTTTGATGTTTTCAGCCTGTTGTCTACCAAAGTGAGGCTTAGCCCACTGTTGTAAATGAGAAATCAATAGTAAAAATAAACAGGGTTTTCGATTTAAATATGCACATGTACTATTATTATTGGATTATCAAAAACATTTTAAGCGGCAGAACCTATTAGAAGTTTGCAATACCTTTGGACCTAATTGTAAATTGCCAAAACTGTGACATTGTGTGAACGTTTGGTTTATTTATTTGAAGAGGTTAAGGTTATTTTAGTTAGCCTTATCTATGACGAAGACCAATGTCCTAACCAGCTGGTGCATGTGGACATTTCGAGCACCAGTGTTACTTCTTTGTTTTGAAGTAAAGCAAAAGTTTGTTCCTGCCAAACCTTAAGGTACTTGAAGGAAAATAGCTATAAGTTTATTTTCCGGACTCATGCACAAAGTGAGTTGAAAGGCGGTGGCTGTTTGTACAGACATTCTCTGGAAAAGAGAAACCAGATGTATTCTCTAAAATGGGTTATTTTGCAGCAGAACCAAAGCATGCCGATTTGCTTCCTTTGTACTCCTATCGCTGTGGAATTTTGTTGGTTTTGAAGAGAGTCCAGTATTGCTCAGCAGGGGCGAAGAGTAGACATGATAATGGATGATGTTAGTCAGCCTAAGGCAGGCCTGGTACCGTTGGACGTTGACAATATTTTGCGTGGAGAAGACACCCTTTGGGTAGGTAGTCATCATATGGCCTTTTCAACCAGTGGTGGTCTTGGAAGGACACTCAAAGTGATTCACCTTTTTTTTGCTGTGTTAGCAAGAAACTTTGAATGATTCAACTGAGTTTGGACTAGTTCCTCACACCAAGAACAGAGACATATGGGTTTATTCAGAACCAGAAGAAGATATCTGACTAAGACTGACTCATTTCCTCACAGACAGAGTCAATACAGTGGTCTGTCTTGGTCCAGTTTTGAAATTTGGTTGCAAAACAAGGTCACTACACTAAAAAAAATCTCTCTTGTATTGGTTTATTTTATGGTGCAATTCAGGGAAACCTACAAACTCCGAAATCCGAAATTAACCTACCTTTATCTCTTGAGTTTTGTATGTAATGACGGTAACAGTAAAATGGTGGTAAATCAGAAAAATAAACTTTCTTTAAGAACTATTTTGTAAATCTCCATCATGAAAACTATCATAAACAATGTTTCAGAGATCAGGCAGTGTATTCTTAACCATTTAATGTAATAGCTTTCTGTAAGGTAGCTGTGAGGACGCATTAAACAGAACCATCTATTCTAAAGTTCTTTGGGTAACCAAACGAACCCTTTTTGGTTTCTGATGTGCTCTGGAGATACAGTACATACATGCTCTGGTGTACATACATGTAACGTGAGTATTATTAAGCCCTCGAAATGCTTAATGTGCTTTCTTAAAGGTTAATGGGTTTTTTAATTACATCCTGCAAAATTCTTTGAGGCCGTTTTGGACAGCGTGATGTTTTTCTGTGAATTAATTTTGTACTGTGCAGTTCTGTTTAGTCTGAAATGACTCGTTATAACTTGTACCATTTTGGCGTGCGGTTGAGGTTTAATGCATGCCATTCATGGTAATTAATTTGTTTTTGTGTAGATTCCGGTTAGAATGTTAGATTTTTGCACACTCAGCAGATCTTGAAGACAGCAGAAAAGCCCAGCCCAGGTGGAACACACACCGCCGGTAGCAGAACATGTGTCAACATGGCCTCAATGTACTTACCTCTCAGAGCACAATGTTCTGGCCAAGAGAGCTAACACCTCTATTTTATTTAGAAAGAAGTTGTGATTTAAAGGGCCTGTGATGTGGAAAGCCACATTTTCATTACTTTTTTTGAAATAAGATGTATGTAAACCTTGGGCCTCATTCACCAATAATACTTTCTGAATGTCAGAATCTTTGTGAAAACTGCATAAGTAGGTCTTAAAAAGAAATTTATTCTAAAGAACAGTTGGTGAATGAGGCCCATTGCTAGTCTTAAAACAAACTGTTTAGGTCTGTACTGTCTTTATATGGAAACAAAGCTGCAAAAAACATCCTGTTTTGAATTCACTGTTTTTGTAACAGCACAGAAAACAAGGCATTTACATATGTCCACCTTTTTAGACTATAGCTGTTTAGTCCAGCTCACGCTGAAGTTATAAGGAATGTTTCAGCCAGTACTTCTATTTGAGGCGCAATACAGGGCAGCTGATCAGACCACATATCATTTATGTATATCAGTCTTAAAGGCACAGTAACAAAAAACAGCCTGTTTAATCCTGAGGGCTAAATAGATGTTGGCCAGTGGTCATGTATAAATGAATAATGACTTTTTGATACATAAAACCACACAGATGTTTTACGTGTACCTCAGGGAAAAACATAAAATAAGGTAAAAAATAAATAAGAGAAGAGTTATAGAGTAAGTGAATAATGCTCTGACAGAGTGTGACGCACAGATAGTCATCCGAAGAGAAGCCAGTGTTTAATTAAATCCATTTCCAGTTCTCCAAAATTTCCCATTCAGAAAATCCCCTTCATTTTTACCCGGAACAAAAACTGCTGCTCTTGCAGATTAAGTTACCCAGTATCCCCCAATTTTGGAGACACAGCTTAGCCAAGTCTGATGTAATGTAACAGTTATTTTCAAACCCGTGTCTTCTCTCAGTCCAAGAAAACTAATTTTCACTCACCCTCTGAGAGAAAGACAAAAAGGAGAGCATAGGAAGTATAGCTTTCACACCCTTGTGCGCAGGTGTTGAGCTGTGCAGCTTGGTGTGAAGTGCGTGTGGGTTTTGGAGATGTGAATCCATGGACGTGAGAGCACTCTGCACATTCCTGTCAGAAGACCCCCCCGTTTCTTTTTATTTCTCTTTCTCTTCTTTCTATCTCTATCTATCTGATTGTTTCTCTCGCTTTCTCGCACTATCCTTCTCTCTATCTCTCTTTCTCTCTTTCTCTCCCTCCCTCCCCATCTCTTTCTGTCTCTCTCACATGTCTCTCACCTCCCTGACTCTGTCTCTATATCTCTCACTTTTACTCTGTCTCTCTGTTTCTCTCTCACTATCTGTCTCTCTTTCTCACTTTCTCTCTCCCTCTCCCCTTTTTTGTTTTTCTCCCGGTCTCACTCACTCTCTGTCTCACTCACCCTCTGTCTCTTTGTCTCACTCACTCTCTGTCTCACTCACCCTCTTTTCTGTCTATCTCTCTCTGTCTCTCTCTCTCTTTTCTCTCTGTCTCTCTCTTTAATGTCTATCTCTCTTTTCTGTCTCTCTCTTTTATGTCTATCTCTCTTTTCTGTCTGTCTCTCTATGTCTCTCTTTCACTCACCCTATGTCTCTCTCGGTCTTTCTCTCTATCGCTCTCTCTCTCTCTTTTCTGTCTATCACTCTCTCTTTTCTGTCTGTCTCTCTCTATCTCTCTGTCACTCGCCCTCTCTCTGTCTCTCTGTCTCTCTCTCTGTCACTCTCACCCTCTCTCTGTCTCTGTGCCCCCCTTTTCTTTCTGAAGTGCATGTGTTCCTCTGGTTTCTAACATATGCTCATTACCAGCTTTTCCTTTATTGTTCCTTCAGGGCTTTTCTTTTCCCTCCTGTCTTAGTTGACACTGACAGGCCGCCACACAAAGAACATGAGTCCTGTACTTGAGCAAAAGGGAAAATCCTTGGTTAAATGTTTAATTCAGATGGATATAAATACTGTGATTAGAAAATATAGTGACTACATTGTTTCTCTTTAAAAGTGCATCAAATATTTTCAGCAGTTCAGTTTTATCCCACTTGAGAGTCACAAGTATCCACATATGATGCAAAAAGTATTGCAGTGAAGAATAATATATTTTACTTTGGAAAAGTATTTGAGTGAAGGTAAAAAGCCTCCTATATGGACATACTTTAATAAAGTATACATACACTTGAAAAAATATGTGAAGTTCCTACATCATGGAAAACTTTTTTTGAAATAACAGTTTCATGTAGTAAGTAAATATTGTTAAAGTTTAAATATGTACTGTTCAAGCCCCAGTGCATATAGCCCATATATTGAAAGTAAGCTGCAATCACAGCCTAATTTAAATGTACTTTTTTGTGATGTCACATAAACCAACATTTTTACATACGTTCACCCATTTAGCCTCCAGCAGTTTAGCCCTGCCTTATGTCTTTTTGGATTATGCACAATACAGGGCAGCCAATCACAAAAAGGGTAGTTTAAATCTTAAATGTGTTCATCTTTAAGCACAGTAACATAAAACCACAGAATAATCATAAGTGGATCTTGAAAGATGTAAAGTACAAATAAAACGTAAGATATGTGTCCTTTAACCTCAGTAGCTAATAACATGTACATTGTAACTGGCCACTGCTGTAAACCTCGCTACGAGAAAGACTCTATGAGAAAGATGATAGGTGGTCTGTTGAATGTCTATTGAAGCTAAAAACACTGAGCAAAACTTTGAAAGCTTTGTAAACATTTGACAAGCCTGAGCAAAAGGAATTACTTGAGTAGAACAGCTTTTGCCAGAAGCTGACTCATTTGAATTCTAACCACAGCTGCTGAAACAGCTGTCCAGGGAACACAACAGAGTTTTCTGTAGTGTTCACTCTGCTTAATATTTACACTTAGTAAGTGAAAGATTTAGTATGTTAGTTTGATTTGTGCAATTGTGAGCATGTATTTCTTGTCAGTTTAGACAATACATCTCTGATTTTGTGTAGCTAGAAGCGTTTGTGTGCAGCATAATTGTGTTTATATTATGTGTCTGGTGCATCTTTTTGTCTGTGATGTGATGAAACTGCATGCTGTTAGTTAGAGGTTGGGCAACATGACAATATGTTATTGTTATGATAAAAGAGATTAGAGGGAATTAGAGGACATCATCAGTACTTCTTGAACACTGAACAGCTGCGTGTATGTACGATCTTGTTTGTGTGTGTTTTTTTTAAATATATGGTTTGTCTGGGTGGGACAATAAAGAAAGGGACTCAGTTTCTTTTACAAGTGTCTGGTTTTCCAACTATAAAATAGCCTCTTAATTAGCTTTTGGTGGTATGCTTCAGCCATCCCCAGTCAAACACTTAGCACTTTAATCCGTTTTAGCTATATAGGCTATTTTTATATAAGGTCTCTTGTGATCATCTTTGGATTAAACATTACATCACTGGAAATACCCTGACAGGTAAGTAGAAAAAATGCAAGTGAGGACCGGTACAGTCCCAGCTATAAACTGTAAACTAGAAACTAGGGCTGGGCAATATGATGATAATCGTTATTGTGATAAATTACACAGCATTACATACTAAATGCATTTCTGAGCATATCATGGGTAGCGTTGTTGCAAGATGTACCGCAGTACTCCTTAAATATTATCTTGAAGAGTACAGTAGCTACCTCCTTGTAGAGTATGGTAAAGTATGCATAGGTAGTATTTCTCAATAAATTCTTCAATTTTTATTTTGTAAAAGAAGAGCACAGAGATGAGATGAAAATCAGAAGTAGAAGAGAATTTCTGTTTTACAATATTGCCAAACAAAAATGTCACACAGTGTCATAAACCCTTGATGATAAATTTATATGAATAAACTTACAAATGCCCGATGGAATGTGTTACTGACTTTTTTTTTGAGCAGTGAAGTATTTCTTCACTTCAATCAAAGTTAATGGCTGAAAGTAGACAGAAACCGATCTGTGGTTGTGAGACATGCCTCTATTTTTAAACAACTGAATAAGTCTAATTCAGGTTTATGTAACATTTTATTCAAATATTTAGTATACTGTCTTGGTCCTAAGCTTATCCTGAAACCACAGAGGTTTGTCCCTTTGAGGGACATGGTAGAAAACCAAGTTGTAGAGCTGAAAGCAACTTCTGGTCGTATTTTTAGTCCACCTTTGTATTTTTTGTGCAACAAGTGTATGTAGCCAAATAGCCATATGTCTTGACAAATGGGCTTGGACCTCTCTGGATTTTTCTCAGCAAATCAGTTAGCCAGTGTCCACCATCGCTAACAGAGTTGTTACGGGAGACGACTGGGACCATATGGTCAGCAGGGTACTCAGCCTGGGAGGAAGTATAAGAGGGGGATCTGCATCCTTGCTCTTGGCATAGCCTCATGCTGGCTGGCTTGTTTTGTTTGTGTGTGATTTTAATCATTTTTCTCTGTTTGCTTTTGTTACAGTTGCTGTGTTATCTCTCTTCACCACTGGTGAGCCCCTTATACACTTTAAAGGATCTTGATCTCAAGCATTTCCCAGTCTAATCTTTGTCTGCCACATCTGTAGCATGCAGATAATTGCCATGAACAATTATTTTCCTGTACTTGTTAAAAAAACAGGACTTTTTTTTTTACTCAAAACACACTTGGCATAAATAGCAGCCAATGGTAAAATGTTACAGCATTGCAATGGAATTGTTATATCAGATGTGGCGGATGGAGAGTAGACTGAAAAATGCTGGAGTATTCCTTTGACTGCATTCTTTGTTCAGTGTTGCTGATAAGTGGATGCTTTACCACAGAAGCAATTGTAGTGTTTATTTTATTATATTAATAGAATCATTCATGTATTTATTTTCTTTCTCTCAGTACTAGGCCAGAGTGATGGCAGTAGTGTGGTGGTGGCCATGTACAATATTAGTGCACCTCAGGGGTCTCAGGCAGTACTGCAGTGTCACAGCCAGCGCATGGTGTGGACCCAGGACCGGCTGAAAGACCGCCAGCGTGTTGTCCACTGGGATCTGTTCCGCAGCACTCCAGACTACGCCATGGAGCGTGTTCTGGACATGTTTTCTGCAGGAGATCAGCGTCTGTATAATGCCTATAACCAGGGACGCATCAGTATGTCCAAGACTGCTTTCAAAGATGGCAACTTCTCACTAGTTATCAAGAGTAAGCACTGTTCTTTTGTTTTCTGAGCTGGTGCAAAATGCCTATTGATCCTTTTGTTTCATTTAATGTGGTGTGATCCTTATTACAGAAGTGGCTATGACTGACAAAGGCATCTACTCGTGCAACCTTCACCATCACTACTGCCATCTCTATGAATCAATCAAAGTGCAGCTCAATGTCACCAAATCAGGTTGGTTAACTTCTCTCTGTGTACTCATTTCTGGACAGTACAGATATGGCCAAGTGTTAATGCAACTTGTAGTTCACCGATACCTCTACTTTACACAGAAATCATGAAAATAAGCCAGTGAACATTGGCCTACTTACAGTGGTTGCTAGTTGGTTCCTTTTTGATTTCATTAATTACTAGTAGGGGAGTAACAATAGACTCAGTCCATGATTCAGTTTGGTTAATATTTTAACATAACTCGAATGAAGATTGATGAGGATGGCTATAGTCATTTTGTTGCACAGCTTACTGATGACACTAGAGCTGGGAGGCAGGAGGAGTGCTAGAGTGAGTTGTTCATTGATGCAAAATGTTTGCAAATTTTAATGGCAATACATTAGATGTCATACTTTACTGAATATCTCCACGATGCACACTGTCACATGATGATGCCACGATGCATTGTTACATGTGTCATTAATAATATTCCTTTAAAGATAAGCTATATAATCGCTTCCTACTCCAATGCTCATTCTAACAAGCCCTTGTCAACTTTGCCTCGCCATTTCCCCTTGAGGGAAACCCTGACGCTGTCTTAAGGGCCATTCCAATACTTTAGAAGCTCAAGTGAAGGGTCAACTTACGGCAGAACTTGCCCAGAAATCATTGCAACATGACGTAATTCCATTTTCAAGCTGGAACCAGTGTGCTGCGTTCAGAATGGATTTGAATTAGCAAAATACTACATCTGTTATGCTAGTTAGCAAGCTAAATGAGCTACACAGCACCAACAAAAAAATACAAGCTATATGCTACAGTTCTACACCAAAGTTTATTGCCAGATAAAGTGATTAGTCATAAAATATATGCATGTTATGTTCAAGCTTGTCAAAAAACATTCTGCATTTCAAAGTTTGCATGGCTAGCCGATTAGCTCACTGTGACTAAGTCCTGTAGCTGAAGGCAAGTGTGAAAAATCTACTCTTCTCTGTCCCTGCATTCCCTTGTGCTGTGAATGGCCACTTGTGTAACGTGACACATTTCCAAGTAGTGAGTCAAAGTTGGCGTAGACATGTTAAAAAGAGTATTTAAACAAGGCCTTAGATGACCCAGAGGATCTTAAATCTTAGCAGAATTGAGGCTGTACAATATGAAGCAAATACCACATTTTAATTATTTTGCTACATATTAAAATTCTGATATAATTACAATATATTTAAAACCCTTCAGTGATGGCTTAACAAGATGTGGTAAAAGATTGCCCTGTATTATTTTTGACCGGAATTATTTACATTTGTAGGACCATGCGAAAGACTTCATTCATTCCGACCTCCACAGGTGTCTGGTTAGAGGGCTCATTTGCATGTTGCGTCCTTTTATATATATATATATATATATATATATATATATATATATATATATATATATATATATATAACTGACAAGCAATATATTGTACAGCCTTAACAGAAACCTTTTCTGCCTTCGGTTTATGCTCATACCATTATTATTTACCCAGAACCTTTTGATCCTGGTCTTTTTGTATGACGCACACAGACATTTTGAACATTGCCTTTTCTGTCAGGAAAACTGAATCTGTGTTAATCGAATTTTTGTTGTGGTTACAGCTCACAAGGAGCGGCGTTTCTGGGATGGGCAGAAGGCAGTGTATGTGGTCCTGTTGAACAGCACAGTTGCGTTGCCCTGCGTGAACCGCCGGCCCATCTGGACAGAGGGCAACAACCAGGAGGAGCAGCAGCAAGTGGTGCACTGGGACCGCCAGCCACCAGGGGTCCGTCATGACCGTGCTGACCGCCTTATCGACTTGTATGCTTCAGGAGAGCGGCGCCATTATGGGCCACTCTTTATTCAGCAGAAGATGAATATCTCGGCCACAGCTTTCTCACGAGGAGATTTCTCGCTCATCATCTCAGACCTGCAGCCCACTGACCAAGGGCTGTACTCATGCCATCTGCACCACCACTACTGTGGCCTGCACGAGAGACGCATCTTTCAGCTGACTGTTGGCCCACCCATCCCACAGGCCCCTACTGATGCCCCCCAAGCGCTGCCCAATGAAGATCCCAGTAAGATAAATGTTATCATCACTTAAAAAGGGTGTTGACAAATCTGTGCATTTATATATTTATTTACATATACAGTCAGGTCTTCAGAAATTTGGTTGTTGACAAAATTTGGGTGTTGACCGCCTACCGCGGTGTATTGAAGTTTAAATTAAAGTGCAGATTTTCAACTTTAATTTGAGAGTATTGACATTCAAATCAGTTGAACGTTGTAACAGCCATTTTATGCACAGCCCGCCGCCCCTTCACCCCATTTTTAGGGGCTAAAAAGTAATTGGACAAACTAATTTAATCATAAATTAAATTGCAAAGTATTTGGATCCAAGTATTAAAAATGACAGTCAATGACTGCCTGAAGCTTGACACCCATAGACATCAGAAGATGCTGGGTTCCTTCCCAGGTGATGCTCTGGCAGGCCTTTACTGCAGCTGTCCTCAGTTCCTGCTTGTTCACAGTAAGTGAAATGCATGCTCATTTGGATTGAGGTAAGGTGACTGACTTGGCCATTGCAGAACATCCCATGTCTTTGTCTTGAAAAAGTCTTGGGTTGCTTATGCAGTATGCTTTGGTTCATTGTCCATCTGCACTATGAAGCACTGTCCAATATGTTTTGAAGCATTTGACTGAAATTGAGCAGATAATATAGAACCTATACACTTTATCCTGCTGCTTTTGTAAGCAGTCTCATCCTCAATAAACACAGAAACTTGTTCCACTGGCAGCCAAATATGCCATAACACTACCTCCACCATGCTCAATGAAGTGTTATGCTTTGGATCAGAAGCTGTTCCTTCCCTTCCCCATACTCTTCTTTTCCCATCATCTGGTGCAAGTTGATCTTTGTTTCATTTGTCCATAAGATGTTGTTCCTGAACTTTTTAGAAGTTTTTTCTGGTCTTTCTGTTTGAGGCTTACCGATGGTTTACAACTTATGGTAAACCCTCTGTATTTACTCTGGTGAAGTCTTCTCTTGATTGTTGACTTTGACACAAATGCGCCTACTTCCTGAAGGGTGTTCTTGATCTGGCCAGGTGTGGAGAAGGGATTTTTCTTCACCAGGGAAAGAATTCTGTCATCCACCACAATTGTTTTCTATGGTTTTCTGTGTCTTTTAGTGTTTATGAGCTAACTACTGATTTTTTTTTTTCTTTTTAAGAATGTACCAAATAGTTTATATGGCCACCCCTAATGTTTTGCTGTCTTTCTGATTTGGTTTATTTTGATTTGTAAGCGTAATGATGACTTGCTTCGCTGGCAGTGGTGGCACTAAGGACTTTATATTGGGACTTAACAGAAGGAGATTCCAAATGCCATATTTGAAATCAACTCTAGACATTTTATCTGCTTACTTGTAGACTTTCTATGGGGTTTAGGTCAGGGAACTGGGGTGGCCAAGGCAAAATCTTAATTCTTTGGTCAGTGAATCATGTTTGTTAATTTTGAGGTGTGCATTGTCCTGCTGAAAGAACCTTCCTGGCTGAGGCAGTCAGGTTTTGATTTTATTTTTGCTGGTACTTGGTAGAGTTAGTTGTTTGCAAAAGTTAGAACTGGTAGTGCCACCTTTTTGTATTATTTTTTACCTTTTACTTAAATATATATTAAGATAAACCTTGAAGGTTATATGCTCCATTTTATATACTTTTTAACTTCAAATATCTTTCACTGATTGACACTGGCTATCATACCCCTTTTTTTCTGTATGAAAAAACATGTATTTTTTGGCTTTCTGTACGACTGGAAAGGTTGCAAGGTCCAGTAAAATCGTAAGTTTTCCAGTCATATGTGTTGCAACAAGGCCTGAAGTGCAAGTCTGTTGTGTGTCTGTGACTGCGACTTCACAGTCAGTCCGGAGATCCTGTCAAAAAAACTGATTTATTTGTTTCTTAGGTGAAACTCACCCCATTTTCTAAGCTATATTCTCTTGATTATAAACAATGAGTTACAGCCACTAATATGGCCACCTTAGGACCAAGCATGTGCAATGTCAGTCAAGGCTGGCTGGATATCAGGGCTAAAACAAGTAGAAGTATATGTAGGCCATGTTTACAATGAGAAAGTATTCCTATCTGACTGATTTTTAGAGTGTAGGCAGAGATGAGTGATTACTAGATGATATATTAAACAATGTTTACTGGTGAATTGCATCTCTGCCATGGCGCTATTGTTGAATTATGAAGTGAAAGTAATGGGAAGCACATGTGTTTGGGATCTGACAGTGTTTTTGGTGGCTTTGTTTTTGCAACTCATCTCAGTACTGATTGCTGTAGGTTCTTGTTCTTGAGTTTGACTTCTCATTTTTTTGTTTTATGAGTGTGAGGGAGGAGATGAAGTGGGCCTTGTTACTGGTGTGTGCATTTAAACATGTTGTGCTGTGCATTTCCCCCTACCATAGTCAGCACAAACTGGGCCAAGCTCAGTTCTCCCAACCAACAGCTGTTAGTTCTCTCTCTCTCTCTCTCTCTCTCTCTCTCTCTCTCTCTCTCTCTCTCTCTCTCTCCTCATCTCTTTCTCTGGAAGTGGAAAAACAAGGAAAGGCAGTTTTTTTTTTTTTTTGGATGACTTAGAAAGAGGACAGATGGGGAGAGTCTAGAAGAAAGACTGGCATGTACAAAAACACTTATATACACACACACATTTAAACACATCTTTATTTAGGTCCATATTTCAAAATACATTATAAGAGGTCACCTTTTGTCAAATGCATTAGTTGTCCCCTCATGTATAATACAATACTACATGAGCAGAAAATCTGAATCAATCAAAAAAAGAATCAATCAAAAAGTTTTTACTCCAAATGTAGCAACTTCCAGTTGTTGAGGATAAATCAAATAATATTTTGCCAGTTGCATTCATTTTTGTTAAATTCAAGATTTTAAAACAAAGGCTTCCAGTTACAAATACAAGGAGAATACACTTGTAGCCCAAAGGATGGATTGACTGTAAAAGTGTCTTGTATACACACGCTCTAATACTAGACTTTGAGATAAGGAATAGCTTACCAGCAAACATCCATTCAGCCCTTCTTTGGAAAAAGTGTTTCATTTTTCTTCTACTTTTTACTCACACTTCTCTGTGTCTACCCTCTGCCCCAATTCCCGCACGTCACCCCCTTTTTCTGTCTGGCCCTGGTCCTGATCGCCACGTGTGCATCTGTGTTTGAAGTGCTGCCAGACAGATGGGGGAAATGGAGAATAGAAGATTTTTTCACTTTAGATAAGAGAATGGCAGAAGAAAGGAGGGTGAAGGAGCGAAGGGAAGAGTGGAAATACAGAAGATACAGAGGTGGTCTCAGTAGGAGTGTAACAACTATTTACCTCCATAAACATTGACTGTTTCAACACACTTCCAAAGTTAACACACATGGAAACGTGTGTGTGTGTGTGTGTGTGTGTGTATGTATGAAATGAAACCGAAATATTTAAGAAATATATTTAATTTACATTCAAGTAAACAAAGAAAACAGTTTTCTAGCCATGTTTGTAGTGGTTGAAGAAAAGTATGAGTAGCCCATCTTGCCCCACTCCCAGGTACTTTTCTGCTGGTAATAATACTAATTTCTGGAAGTGAGGTAAAAAGTATCAATGCAACCAAAGTTGATAATTAGCAACCACTACACAATATTTACATAAAAACAAATAAACACACGTTTTAAGGTATAAACCGATTTAAGGACTATGCCATTTAATACAGTTGCATTGTTTGAACAACAAAGATTGCTACCAACTTAAATCACAGCAGCACATACGACACACTTCCAGCTCCAGGCTAGGAGTCTAGTCCCTAGTGTTATTAGAAGGTTGTGCAACAACTTGGATACAATCATCATTTTTCATCATTTAAAATTTGTTTAAAGTATCACAAGAATATTGACTCGGAAACCAGAGATAGCACCAGTCCAATATCTCAGTATTTGTATCGACCAGATATCAACAGAACAAACTGAAGCAGATATTGGAGAAAAATAGAATGAATTATATTAGATTTTATAACATATGTACCCTGAAATATCACAGAGTTGCTTGTAGTGCAACATAACATAAGGCAAAGTAAAAAAGGTCATGTTATAATACAGGATACTGTCATATGTTAACAGTATTGATAGGGTTGTACAGTGAGTGGTTTGAGCATGGTACATAAATATATAAAATTGGTGTTAAAGTCAACGCATTGTTAACGCAATAAAAACTGCACTATATTTTTGAAAATGCCATTAATGCATTTTCCTAGTTTGACCCTTCAAACCACCTGTCGTTCCAGCCTAAACCCCAACTGCTCATGCTGCTGTCACCTCACTCAAATACAGCTTTTAAATCACAAGTTTCATTAATGTCTCCCTTGATAAAACCAGAATTATTTCCAGCTACTAACCCTGCAATCACACGATGAAAATAATGTTATTAAAATTAATAAATACACTCTGATGCAGCATATTTTGTTCACTCATGTAGCTGTAACAAAATGCACTGCTTTTTAAATGGGGAAAATATTTTTTAAGGTCATATTTGAGCAAATGTGACTTAATCTGGATTAATTACACAACATAATGTGATAATGTAATAAACTGTGATTAATTTATTTTAATTCTTTGAAAGCCATATATATATATATATATATATATATGTGTTGTAAACAGAAAATAAAATCAAATCCTGAGCTGAGTGTATCGTTACATCCTTAGTGTGATATGTTTTTTTTAATAATTGGAGTGGGGGTTGTGGTTGGAAGTCTGGGGACGTGTTAGTCTAGTTTAAAAAATGCTAATAGGAGAATGTGGGAAAACCATTTTCTATGGTTGAGAAATGCTTGCGCGTCTTGGACCCGAGTCTACACAGACCTCAGTAGAATCCAGTGGGATAACATCACATGCCTTTGGGCGGGGGAGAAAAGAGCAAAACACTCTAAGAACTGCTGAACGCATTACTAAAAAGAAAATACGTTCTGATTCTGCTTGAATGTTTGTTTGACTGCACAAAAAGTAGTAAAGTAACTAAGGTTGCTGTGT